AGGCTCGGCACAGGCACCAATGTTCCTTGAACTAATTTTGTCGCCTTTTCCTTTCCACGAGTCATGCGCTCCTTCTTCCCGGACACTTTCTGCTGTTTTCGCACTTTAGGGCGCCCACGGCTCTTCGCACTTTTACTGATCTTGAATGTCGCCGGTGTAGATGTGTCAGAGTTCTCGCTAGCCGAGCTTGTGGGTTGTCGCTTCGACAGGATGCATGTTGGCGCCGTTTCTACATCCTTTGCGCGATTGGTATCCTCAGTCACCGTAGGTACAGATGAACCCTTCTGAGAGCCTGTAGGCACTCCATCAGTACCTGTAGCCACTGCAGCTTCTCCTGTGGTACCTGCAGCCACTCCGCTGGTACCTGAAGCCACTGGAGGTGTTCCTGTGGTACTTGTATCCACCCCAGTTATATTTGACGTCACGGTATTAATACTCCCTGGCACAGCATCTGTAGTTGTAGTCTCAGTATCCATAGCGTCGCACAGGTGTGGGTCTGTTTGCGGCACGTCATCAGAATAGTCACATTCAGGACTTTGTTCGAGAATTTTGGGGGAAACAGGATCCAATTCTTGATCGGATGTTGCGGTGCCGCTTGCATCGACAGCAGAAGGTAGGTCGTACGTAGAAATCGATAACTGAGAAAGTGGGTCAATCCATTGACCTTCACGACCCACGAACGGTGCAACTACGTCCTTGATGATCTCCTCAAACTCTTCCAACGCTGCCAGCATCTCATTGAAGACTGCTGTACCATTACGGCTCATAATGTCAGCGATCTGAGTACCGCGTCGACAAGCCGTACTGAACTTGGTGGTGCCATTGAGAACCTTGTGTTTTCTTGACACCATCATCGACTCACGGATTTGGAAGGACTTGCGTGCGATCTGATCTTGGGGGGCGTCTTCCTCTTCAGTAGGTTGATTCAGCTTACACGACAATCTCCATCGCTGGGCAATGTGCCGAATCGGAATTACATTCTTACCATTGCTCAGTCTCCAGTACATGACGTGACGACAAGGAAGAAGCGTGGTACGCATGAAAACGCAAGAGCAGCGGTATACCTATCATTCGTACCAATACAAAGACAATTAGTCAATAATTAAGATAAATATTGCTAGCATCAACTATAAAACTTACCGACGTATCGACATGATAGGCGTTATTGTCGCTGCCGCACGATACGGTGAACATGTTGGGCGTCACTTCGGTGACCTCGTAGTGGGTAGCTCGGTCCTTTGCAATCCAGTACTGTTGCTCAATCTGACGGTAGGCGTGTGGGCTCACCTCCTGTGAAAGTCGCTCCAGCTCTTTATCCGCGCCCTGATATCGCATGTAAACCACCGCTGTCATATTTTTACTGTATTCCATCTCTGCAACTGCCTGCAGAAATATCAGTGTATCCACACATTCGTCAAGAGGCATCTCAGGTTTCAGGATTTCCTTAAGATGCCCCCACGATGCCTCCAAGCTATCGCATAACACACAAACGTTAGCGTCAAATTAAATGCAGAAGCCTTAACTCCATAAATTCTTACCGGTTATTTGTGTGGTTTCCAAGATGCGGTACGTCTGAACGGGCGTAGAGAGCCCAACGCTCCTTCTGTTGGTCCCAATTCTTCATAAAATAACGGAGAAACGGGTGCGTTGGGTCTGGGATCGCGTCCGTAGAGCGTAACTGAACGTTATCCAAGAGGAAATACAGGTACTTGAGATACCTTGTGTAATCTTCACTTGTGGTTGCTGTTCTCATCATATCCACTGCGTCTTCTACTTGATCCATGTCGAAGCTGCTTGGCCCTCCGTACTCACTCTTTGACATCGCCGACCGGATGTATTTCTTGAGATGGAAGTGACAGAGAATCACTTTAACGTTTGAAAAGTGCGCATCCAAAAGGCTCAGCTCACCCATATCTTTGTCGATCACGATGACACGAATCTCCTCCCACGACGGATTTGAAAACGTGAAAGATTCGATCGCATCGGTAAGACACTCCGCACTCTCATTTTCCATTACGCTGTGCTGCACATACTGACCCTAGGCACGCAAACGGTAACATTAGTACCGTTCGGTACCTACAGGTACATCTGAGGGTAACTCTTGCATTACGTGTCTATAGTCACCAACAGGTGCCTCTAGACACGTAGACTTACATGGCCGTACACATCATGTATCATGAACGAGAATAGCTTGTACCTCGAGTCGTTCGTGTTGTGCGTCTCGTCGATCAACAGCACCTCCGGAAAAGCCTTGAACCAGCGACGCATCTGGCGCGTCTGCAGCGTGATTGTCTGCGCCAAAGATTCGTCATCAACAAACACAGAAGCTCGGTTACCCCGCCGTCCACAAAATTCCCGCATTAGAGATTCAAGTCGCTGCTCTACGGTTCTGGAACCGCGCCGCTTCTCTCTCATTCTGGCAACCATGTTGTGGACGTCACGGAGCGTCACGTTCTGACCTATAAACGGATTCATCAGAAATAGAAGCTAAAGCAAGACGAAAGTCATGTATACGTACCCGTCTTCTCGCGCGGAAGCTGCATGATCCGCTTGGGTTTCGAGCCCGACGCTTGCAACACGTCCACGAACGCAAGTAGCATTGGATCCTTGGATCCTCGACCCGCCGCACCGACGAATAGTTTCGTACACAGCTCGGTCGACGCGATGATTATGGCTGATGCTGTAGCCAGTAACGCGCACCATGAATTTCTGCTTATCTCTGTTCCACGTCACAGCAGCCTTGATATCTGGCTTGCACTCAGTCGATTTGCCGAAGTAGCTCTTTCGTTGACCAGTACTGCGACTTTTTTGACGCCATCCGTGCGTGCAGATAAGTTTCATTCAATAGGTTTTGAATTCATCTGGGATAAGCGAGGGCGGTGAATCGGACGTCTCTCCTGATGTGTTGTCAGCAATAGCTCTGATCTCCGTGTTACGACGGGCCACCGACGTCGAACTACGGAGTCGAAAGAGCTGGTGTGTCCTCTCCTGATACTCGCCCATGTAGCTGTTGAATGCGTCCCAGTTTTCATGCCATTCCTGGTCGATTGGTGAGGCCTCCCACACGCTGGCGGATGGCACGTGCGCCTCTGGCTCGCTTTCACTCATAGACCGTCTCCTGTGCGGTTACAATATCTCTTAGCACACAAGCGCAATAACTTAACGTACACAAATAGCGACCCAAGGTCGACTTGAGGCCTAGACGCGCGAAAATCCAAATGAGCGGCTCCAAATGAGCGGCTCTGTACGTTTTGCGGAGGGACCTAAAGGGGGGGTGTCTGATTTCAGATTTTCGAAATTTTAAAATATCTGGTAATATATCAAGGTAATTTACCGATTGGGTACCGCAAAAGTCCTTTTAGGTGCGATCTCACTCAGTGCTTAAGAAAACTGAGCTACTATTGATATTTGATCTTGACGAATAGAACTATAACTATCAAAAAAAGTCATATGATATTTGGCTACCAAACAAACAGAGTTAAAAACTTCGTTTTGAAGTGCGAACAAATCATTTTTTGGCTATCGCACACTGAGTTTTGCCAAAAGCACCTCGCGGGATATGGCCGATAAATCTCACAACAACCTGCTCATCGACCGCACAATTGGACAAAACAACAGTGGCGCTGTATTTACAGATTTTGCAGTGATCGTGCGCAATGCACGAGTGGATTCATCTGCTTGGCAGCAAGAAAGGCAGGCGCAACAATAGTGCGACACTGCGTTGTCGGCTCAATCTGCCGAGTTGTTCGCCATTCTCGGCGGGTTTGAAGTATCTGGCCTTCGACGCATTATCTCGCGAAGTTTAAGATCTACGATACAGACAACAGCTTGGGAGCAACAGAAGAAAGCTGAGCAGTTCTGCAATTGCTGTTTGGTGCGCACGAACTCCGCTTCTCGGCCGTCCTCGGCCGTGATTGCCAATCCACTTGCAAAGGGTGGTCCAATAATTACGACCGCATTAAGGAATGCAACATCCGGGGCTGCCGGAACCTTGCCATCGGCAATGCCGATGGCAAGGTGCCGATTCGGCAGACCATTGTGCGCGGCACACGAATCCTCGGGCGTAGGCAAGGTCAGAATATGAGCCAGGACTTCCCGTGTTGTTAAGGGGTTAGCCAGGTCCTTTTAACAACCTAGGCTATCCGGGTGATGGGGCTACCACAAGCAAAGGGGTCACCTCCGGCCCCGACGTCTCGCTACGTTATCCTTCTTAAAAACGAAGAGATGGCATTCTGGATCGAGGATCAACGAACAAAAATCAATGGCACGTTTCCGCTCGTTCAACGGGTCGATCCGACTACATAACAGCTACCAACGCTACAGCGTCTGATGCCGTGAATGTAAATGACGAAGCTAACCTGAAAGCGGTCATAAAAGATTAAAATTACCTGTAAGTACGTCCTGTCAGCGCCAGTTGTTTCTGCTACACAGTGGTGCTCTTCAACTGATTTTACTGCCAAAACCGAGTGACAAGCGGTGCCGCCAATGGCGGCCCGCCATTACTGATGGCGCGACAGCCCCAGTGATTGTGCCACCACTACCGGTACACGCCAACTCAAAGAGCTCGCTGGGACACTTTTTCGCGTCAGCAAGTTTCTGTGATTGGATTCCAATCACAGCAACTATTGGAATCCAATCACAGCAACTAACCAATTTGAATGCCGCAAAACTGAAACTTATTCAATTTAAAGAGCTCCGTCAGCTTAGAAGTGTTCGTGCGTGTGTGTGTGTGTGCTCAAAGTGTCCAAGCTAATATGTCAACGAAGACATGATTGTAAACGAATCGTCTACTATTAATACATGTACTTGCACGATGTATCATTGAATTAGTACTCGAATCGAAGATCTCTGAAATCAGAGTCTGATCAAGATCAATTTGAGCGGTCTGATTAGGAAGAAAACCCGGAATGTATCTGTTTATGCTATATGATAGGTTTGAACCTTCACTCCTTCTTTCTCAGCCAATAATAAGCGTGCTCGGGTGACAACTCAATAAAAGAAACGAAACAGAAGAGCGAAGAAGCAGCGAGCCACGAGCAGTACGCTTCCGATCGGAGTATCCCCAACGCACCCGAGAGCCCCACACAGTCCCTGTCGATTCCAAGCACCATGACGGCCCACGTGGACACGAACAAGAACGTCAATTGGATGGACTCACGTGGCTTCTGGACATTTTACATCATGCTATTGGCCTCGTTGTACATGGCAATGCCCATCGCCTTCCCTACCCACGGCGATGCCCTCACTGCAGTGAATGTCATCCACGGCGTGGTATGTAGCCTGCTAGCTATTAGATTTAGCTGGGCAGTGATATCGAGTATCTTTGTACTGAAATGATTGCTGCAGGTCTCGTTTGGTATCATGCACTGGATCAAGGGCTCGCCCGACGACAACTCGATGGGCGACTACCGTGAGCTCACATTCTACGAGCAGATCGACCAGGGCCACCCGTGGACCAACACGAAGAAGTTCCTCATGATGATCCCTACTTTCCTGTTCTTGGCTGCTTCGGTCGCCACGGATTATGATACGCTCCACCTGCTCATCAACTTCCCCATCTGGGCCACGCTCATCCTGGCCAAGCTGCCCGAACTCGACCGCGTGAGAATCTTTGGTATCAACTCCACGGTCGGTATTGACGATCACAAGAAGAACTAACCCAGCACACGACCAGACGACAAGCGAGGAGGGTAGCGCAAACTACCAGAGGCATCAGTAATGGCTTCATCATTTGTGAGTAAAACCGATGAACAGTGAACAATTCAGCTGGAGAAGACAGGATAAGAGTGGCCCTTGTTGTCTTCTTAAATCTTCTTTTGCCACGTACTTCAAAGACACATGTATCCCCTTGCAATGCGACCGACAAAATACAAAAGCTTGTCGATCTACTGTACATACACCTTCACAAAATCTCTGTTGTTGCCGGTAACTTGCGGTATTCTAGGATTAAAAAAGTATTTTTTTACATGAGTGTAGACGAACCCAAAAATCATCTACTAAAAAAAACAGTAGTAGTTGATGAAAAAAATGGCTGTACTTATCCAAAACCACACAGCTCACATAACATCTACCGCTGCTCCTCCGCTGCGCAGCAAAAAAATTTCTTTTTTTTTTCTTCCTGTTGCTTCTTTCTCTGCCGGTTGCTCTCTCCCTCTGCATCTCCCTCCTCCATCCACCTGTCCATCTTCGTTCGGAATGAGGGAGCTCCGATCGTGCCACGACGAATGGAGATCGCACTGACCTTGAAGTTGCAGGACGCAATAGTCAGTAAGAAGCTGTGAGGGCTCTAGCAGCATCCGCTCTTGGATTTAGACGCTTGGGGCGGGGTGATCGGGAACGCCTCACGCTCGGGCTGCGGCGGGTTCTTAGGCAGCCTCTTCGCAATGGCGACGAACAAATCCTTCACGTTCACGGCAGTCTTTGCCGATGTCTCCATGTGTAGGATATCATTATCTTCTGCGTACTGGTGGGCCTCCTCGAACTCAACTTTGCGACGTGCCTCAAGATCAGCTTTGTTACCTGCAAGAGCGATGACCACGTTGGGGTCACCGCGACGCTGCAACTCCTTGACCCACGACTTGGCACCAGTAAACGAGTCCTAAACATTAAAATACGGGCATACATAATTGTAAGTATGATCCTACGACAGGTTGCCTCTCGATTAACAGGTGGGCACCTTGTTGGTCACGTCGTACACGACGATAGCAGCGGCAGCACCACGGTAATACATCGGTGCTAAGCTGCGGTAACGCTCTACATCGAAGAATGGTAGTCACACATTAGTACACTTGTTCCGCCGACTTGCCAGCTCACCAGGGTAAATACTTGCCTTGTCCTGCGGTATCCCAAATCTCAAACTTGACCGTCAATCCGTCCTCGAGTCCGACTGTCTGTGTAAGGAAAGCAGCTAGAAATCATAGACGAATGCATAAAGAGAACCACATGATTAAAAAATGTACTCAATCCATCAGCCGATGGGAGCGTATAGATCACGTTTTCGACTGCTAATAAGCCCACGTTGGGCGTCGTACCTCCGATCGTCGGCTCCTGGAACTCGAAGAACTCGTCGCGTACGAACCGCACGACCAGACAAGACTTGCCCACGGCCGTATCGCCTAGCAGCACTAGCTTAAAATGGCACGTTTTTCCTTGTGACATCTTGTTCTGTTCTCCTCAATCAAAGCTTTCTTCTCTTTCTGCGTCTGCTCGCTGAATTCTCGCTTCTGCTCGGTTGTAGCTGCTTCTCGACGCGTAGATGGTCGATCCGATACTGTATTTTGCAACGGCGACCTGTAGCGTAGCTCAATGGTGAACTAAGAGACGCTGAACGCTTCCTTCTTCCTTCCTTTTCGCTTTGGTTCTGCTTCTTTTTCTCGCACGGCACACACGCGGTACTCACAGCGTTTTTGTATGGATCCCCAGCCGGCTGAGATGGGAGAAAAAAATCCCCCTCCGAAAGTCAATACACATCCGATATGACGGGATTTGGATCATGGATAGTAAAAATAAATACTAACGTTACTGCTGTATTGCATCGTCAAGGAGCAGTAAACATACTTCGTTAATAATTATTCTAAACCAAGCGCCACAAATGCAGGATAAACAGGGAAGGAAACACACAAAAATGTAACATTCGTGTTGTGTGTGAGCGTTTCCTATTAGCATCGAGTTGGCTATCGACTGCTTGCATCCGCTGGCTTGATCAACTCTTCGTCGTCCTACGGAATGGGCTTGATCTGGACAAATAGCAACAGCGACGTGAGGAAACAGCTGCGAGTCATAAGGCTATAACCGCGGAAGATAAGAACGCACGCACCTTGAAGTGCAGTGTGATCAATGAGAACACCAGACATTTGAGGTCCTGCACCAAGTAGTAAAGCACGCGCAGACCTTCCGGGTCCTTGCTGTCCTGCACGTCCAGCAACGAGCCGATCTTCGCGCACTGCAGATATGCCAGCCGCTTCGTAAGCAAACTAGCACAGCAAAAGCCATAATACATGCAACGCACCGTAAAGGAAATGTGGTCGTTGCCCAGTACTACTTCTAGTTCTTGCCGTCCAACGCGGTCGGGCTCGGGCCACTCCTTGTCGTCTTCTCTGTCAAGGTAAAGCAGCACATTCGCCCGTCAGCAGTCTTAGCACCATCGCAGCATACATAAGGACGCAGAGCGACGTACTTTGTGATTTCACTATCGCTAATGATCCGCTTCACCTCCTCAATCACCGACTTGGACACCGTCACTACATCGGGGAGCGCAGCCACCACAACGAACATGTTAGCTCAGTCGTGTGAGTATGCGAAGCTTCGCTGTAAGACTACTGATGCAGTGAATTATTAGCGCTTACCTTCTTTTCGAATCATAGAGTCCTTCTTGTAGTTGGAGTTGTTGGCGTAGCGAAGTTTCCCGTCGGCACGAAACTCGAACTCCATGAACTCATGACCAAACTTGCCGCGGTGCCCGACGCTGCAACAGCACACGCCCATATCAAGCAACAGATACCTAGTTTAGTTTCCTCTTAAGCCGTCTCTTAGCAGGCCGCTGTAACGCACTAGTAGCGAACGTAGAAGTCGTCGTCCCGAGGCATCTTGTTACTTTTTGTCTTTTAGCAATGCAAATGTTGTTTCAAATATCAACCAATCATATACTTAAATAATAGAGCCTTTTTTACCAATGGACAGCCAAGATTCAACATCAATTGAGTCCCCCTTGAACGTCGAGGTGTCGGTGAGTGGGTCGTGTATCTGGCTGCTTCCTGCCTACGACTGAAGCTCGATTCGACTATAATATTGGGCTAATGTTACTCTCGCATCTTGTAGCTTTTAGACTAACCACAAACGGCGCGGCGTTAGTCTTCAGAATCGCTGCTAGGGATAAAAAAAGAAAGAGCTCATATGTCAGCGCAAGGGACTCCAGTGCCTGACAATCTCAAGTCTCCAGTTGGGAGGAAAGCCAACCCGAAGGCACCGTCTAAGGTTGCTAGTAAGCGCCGTGCAGTATCTGGAGCAAACGGCACCGCGAAGCGTGCGACACGCCGCGAGCTCAAGAAGCTGGTAGAAGTGGACTTGGAGGAGAAGGACGACGTCTCGACAGGTTGGTTGGCTACGAAGATGCCAAGTCATTTGTGTTTAATGAATGATCTAATTGACTCATCACGCACATTTTTGCTGTAATGAAGCGATCAAAAAGGAAAATACGGCCGCTGTGCCGTTTGGAGTGGATGCCACTAGCGCGTCTATCACACCCACGAGTCTGCATGATGATTTTGTGAATATGATGAAGACGAAAGGTCTGGAGAAGATAGCAACAGAGGCAGGACTTTTGAAGAATGGCGCTCTAGTGGAATCGCAGGCTTCTGCGGCCACGTCGGCCGCTGTGACACCTGCCAGCTCTGGAAGAGGAAAGAAGTCGGCGCCCACGGCTTCAACTCTCGCAAGCCCGTCGTTCACCAGTCCGTACGTTTACATTGGAAATTGCTATTGGGAATTAATGATAGACTCACTGTGTTCGTATTTTTCAGCTCACCTGGGAAGAAAAGGAAATATTTGAAGATCAACAAGGGCTTGCGCCATTTTAGCATGAAAGTGTGTCAAAAGGTGGAAGAGAAGCACGTTACGTCGTACAACGAAGTTGCTGACGACCTAGTGCGCGAGTTCGTCACAATGCGACCAAATGATGCGGTACGTCGACCCCATAAAAAAGAAAAGCTCGTCGATGTGCTCACCTTGTGTAATATTCAGGTATACGATGAGAAGAACATCCGTCGGCGTGTTTACGATGCGCTGAACGTATTGAGGGCCATGGATATTATTTCAAAAGAGCGGAAGGAGATCCGATGGAAAGGACTGCCGTCAAATTTGCAACACGATTCGGAAATGCTCTTGGTCTGTTGTCTTTACATTGGTGCAGCTGGATTTGGGAGTAATTATCTTATAGATGATGTTATTGTGACAGACCGAACGCAATGAGCGCATGAAGAGTGTGGAGCAGAAGAAACAACATCTGCAGGACTTATTGGTACAGCAAGTTGCAATGAAGAACCTTTTGAAGCGAAATGCCGAACGTAAGCGAAAGGAGAGCGAGAACCCCACAGCTGCCACTATTGTACGCGACGAAGGTCGAGTCTTCTTGCCGTTTATTGCAGTGAACACCAGCAAAGATACGGTGATTCAGTGCGAAATGTCGGAAGACCGTCAGGATATCTTCTTCAACTTCAGCGCGCCGTTCGAAATCCACGACGACGCAGATATTTTGCAGAAGCTCAACTTACACAGGGCGCCGTATACTGAGCTGAAGCAAATGGTGCCTGACAAACTGCTGTCCTACCTTCCAGCCGAGTGCGAAACGAAGAGCGACGAGTAGATTAGGCTGATTGTTAGGTAGGTAGTCTAGTAAAAGTGCAATTGTGGGAAATCGGGTGTTTGTGGTGAATCCATCTACACCTTTTCAGTTTGGAATTATTTGTTTACTTCGAAGTACTTGAGTTCGTTGCGATGGAGAAGCATCTACGAAAGAAGAAAAGTGTTTGTCGTTTGTTCTTGTTGTTGTAGTGTCGGGGTCACACCTGTTGTGCCGCCAGTCTTGTGAGAATCCGGTCTCGGATCATTCTGTTGGGATTTAATTAAATGGAGCGCGCTTGGTTCGCTTCTCATGATCTGCCGGTCACCACCACGTCAGCATAGCTGCGCGTCTTGGAGCCTGATTCCGGGCGTCTCTCCTCTGCAAGAAAGACCCAGCCTTCCACATCTGCCTCGCGTGTAAATGCCGTTTCCTGGGATACTTGCTCGCCGGGTTTGTCGGATGTACTGTTAGTCTTGTCGGGCGTGCTGCCGGGGCCGAAGAAGCGGTTCAAAATAGAGTCTAGCATAGTCGGTCTTTGGTTACGCGTCGTCTTGGTTTGGTTAGCTTGCGCCTGTATTGCTATTTCTCAATGTGAGCTGCGCGTTCGTTCTCCGTATTCTGAATCTCTGGGAGCGCGAACTTCAAAGTGTGAGAAAGAATTCGGGAAAAGTGCTCTTCCGTGACCATAGTGAAACCAAGTCACATTCTGAATTCAAATTCAAGCAAGAAATTCAACCGCAAACCGTTTTTGAGCAGTGCACGATTTGACATTGCCATCAACAACACGTGCCAGACGACTTTCGTTGTTGCAGCTATTCATGGAAAATGGTACCCACGTGAATGAACTACATGTGCATGCATTATAGCTAACTTAGGACTTTTAAATCGACATTCCATGCAGCAACATTTGAGGGGGTGAAGGAGAAAATAACCATGACAGATTCAACCTGCTTCTGCGCACCAATGTGGTCGAGAACGCGATAACTTGCAGCAACCAACACATTCCAACTGGAAAAGGTGGCTCAAGAATCTTGAGTCAAGATGTTTAACTTACTCGCAACTACCGGTAGCATGCGTTCGTTGCGACAAGAATCTTCTCTTGCTTTGTGGCAATCTTTCCGGATCAGCAACTTCTAAACCTGTGTAAAATTGATGTGGCACGCTATCCCGCCACATTTTGCCAGCTGACCAACAAAAATGGCGTCGGAGACAGCGGACAAGGACGCGTCGCCCGCTGTGGCGTCTACATCTAAAGACGAGATCGTCGGTGCGAGCGAAAAATCGAGTCAAAACACGGAGGATTCAATTAAGAACTCTCAAGGCAACGAAGATGCCGATACCGGGGAGACTAAGCAACAGGATGAGCCTGCAGCTGCCAACGACGTGGAGATGAAGGAAGCTGATGAGGGAAAGGACGAGGAGGTGAATCCCACTACTACGGTAGAAGAAGACGTAGATATGGTGGAGGCAAAGGACGAGACGGAAGAGAACGCTGCTGACGACGACAAAGCAGCGTCTAAGAACTTGTCAGGTGAATTGCGTACGGAGGAGAATGAGGCAAAGACGGAAGATGAAGAGCCTAGCACTGTTAAAGCGAAGGAGGCTGCCGCAGATGCGGAGGCTGCTGAGAGTGGTGATGTGGACATGAAGGCGGCTGAAGCGGAAGCGAAGAGTGAAAACAACGATGAAAATGCGTCTCCTTCCAAGACGCAGGCATCCGTTCAAGCTGACAATACGCCGCAGCAGTCGACACAAGATGATACTGAGATGAAGAATTCTAGTGAATCGTCGAGTCCGAAGCATAAGGAACAGGTGCAGTCATCTCCATCTAAAACTAGCAACGGAGTGAACGGGTTAGCGGAACCTGCTGCTAAGAAGCAAAGAACGAGTCCAAAAACTCCTGAAGATGCCACTCCAGCTAAGGAAGCCGGATCGTCGTCTCTGATTCTCTCACGTGACGATATGGCAAAGATGGAGGAGGACAGCGGTCGACTGAAGTTTGATGTGATCACAAACGATGGTACTGACGAACATATGATCCAGCTCACGACTCTGAAGAATATCTTTGCGAAACAACTGCCAAAGATGCCGAAGGAGTATATTGTACGCCTGGTTTTCGATAAGAACCACCGCTCCATGCTCCTTCTCAAGAATGGTACCCACGTTATTGGCGGTATCTGTTACCGACCGTTCGAGAAGAACCAATTCGCAGAGATTGCGTTCTGTGCCATCAATGCCTCGGACCAGGTGAAAGGATACGGCACGCGGCTGATGAACCACTTGAAGGAATACGTCAAGACCAAGAACATCACGCACTTCCTTACGTACGCCGACAACTACGCTATTGGATATTTCAAGAAGCAAGGCTTCACGAAGAGTGTGTCGATGGCTCGGCCGAACTGGTATGGCTACATCAAGGATTACGACGGTGGGACGCTGATGGAGTGCACAATTCACACCCAGATCAACTATTTAAGGATCACGTCAATGATTCATCAGCAGCGCAATGTACGCTTCCTGTTGTTTGTCTGTTGTGTAGATCGTGGACTAACTGAGTGTTTGTACTTTTGTGAAGGCAATCCTAGACAAGATCCAGGAGCGATCTCGTGCAAAGACAGTGTACGATGGTCTGACAACCTTTGCAGAGGGAAGGCTGATGGACATTTACATGGTTCCTGGCGTCAGTACGTACCGTCTACATCATTTAAAATGAAAATGCGGTGGGCTAACAAGTGTTTTTTTTTGCAAATAGAGGAAGCTGGCTGGTCACAGGCTACAATCCGCAATAACCGTATCGGGTGCGTAAGGTTCTGCGTCAGAAAGAGACTTTATGCTAATGTTTTGTCAATTATGTCGATTCAGAACTCGCGATCAAGGCAGCTTAAAGGCACAGCTCTCACAGCTGCTCAAGGCAGTGTCCAACCATCGGAGTGCATGGCCATTCCATGAGCCCGTGGACACCAGTGTCGTGGTTGACTACCTTGACCACATTAAGGAACCCATAGACCTCCAACTAATCAGCAAGCGCATCGACAGTGGAGCCTATATTTCCAAGGCTGCGTTCAAAGTAGACCTAGAGAAGATGTGCGACAACTGCATGCTCTACAATACGCCGGACACCAACTACTACAAGTACGTTATCGTCAAACTTACTTAATGAGGCATAACTGACCAGTGTCCATGTGTTGCATTTCTAGGGCCGCTATCGACCTCAAAGAGTTCATTCAGTCTCGAATTCAGATTAGGGATCTCAAGTAGAAAATGCAGAAATGAATAGCTCTCCTTTCGACATGTAGATTTGCAAAAAAACTCACAACTTCCAGTTGCCAATCATGCTCGCCAACATATTATGAAGATCCAAGTGTACATGTAAACATGTAGATACATGTTGTTGGTGTTGGGTTTGAATACTGAGTACTTCAAGTTACACGATCTGAAACGGCAACAATTGCAGAATAAGGGTCAAATTCGATGGTCCAAAAATATGTACCAAAATATGGAGCTATTAATAGTGGGCAGGGAACCCGAAAATGCAATACTAAGATTAATACATCGATGTGAGCTGAGAAAATTAATAATTCAATTATTTGCATTATCCCGGCCCATACTCGAGCGTACCTTGTCCACCGCACTCAGGTCCCACAAGTCGCGGTTGTAGTTCAGAAACATTATCATCTCAAGCCTGGCTGGAGACATTCGCTTACGTAGATCAGACAGCACCAGCTTAGCAAGAGAGAAGAAGCGCTCACACTCGTTAGACGTTGGCGGGATGTACGCGACGTCAACGTAGTGCGAGCGCTTCACGACCTTGCGTTTCTTGAACGCTGCTCTCACAATAGAGCACTCCTCGGCGACTCTTGAAGACGACCGTTCGAGATCAGGGGACCTAAATTCAGCGCAGGCTAATTTTTCCGCGACGTTTAGCGCCTCCCCACGCTGTAACTTGACTAGACCTTGCTCTAAATTGGGGTTGTTCACTATAGATGCCGTTGTTGACAGCCGAGGCTGTAGGGCTGGGTATTCCTTCACAACCTGGTCAAAAAGACGTCGCGAAGCGGACAAAGTTAGCGTAGACTTCTGCAGCTCCTTGGTAACGGCTTCAAAAGCTGCTAAATCTTTAAGAAGCGCCTTGACGCGCTCGTGCTCCGCACGCCGTAGTAGGAGAGGTTGCACATCATGCTCCACGAGGACATTGAGGCCCAGCTGAACAATTGCCGGCTGGAGTTATGCGTAGCGCTCTACCATCTCGTACGTGCTCGACCATCTGGTGTCGTTCCTCAGCAGAGGAGACAGATGGGAGACGCGGCGAAGAATTGCTCTACCTTTAATCGTACGCAGCTTGGACATCAAGGTATGGACCTTGGTTATCAACTCGTCTTCGTACTTGAGGAAGTCCTTGACCGCTAAATTAAAGCGGTGGCTAGCGCATCCGATTAGCGGTATAGCACCCTCCTTCCGGCCAATGTACTGGCTAACGGAGCAGTTATCGCCGACCATGAACTTCACTGCGCTCCAGGGCTTGTTGTATCGCGACAGCGTATCAGCGATTAGGTCGTACTGGCTCTGTGCGCTAAGATCTTCCTCCGTCTCTACGGGCGAGAAAGCTAGCAGCACGAAGCGACGAGATAAGCACTCTAAGTCCTCGTAGTACTCACTGGCCGCGCTGCTACCGGTTTTACCGGTATTACCGGTGGCACTGTCAAATACTGCAAAGATTGCAACGTAGTGACGGTTGCTGCTTGTCCAGCCGTCCAATACGAGACCAAATGATTCGGGTAGCTCACTGGCTACACGGCCCTCAACTACCTCGAACAGCAATACTATATCGCGGAGTAGCGTGTCCTCTGACACGGTAGAAAGTGCCACATTCAGCCGGGTGAGCCTTCGCTCCACAAATGCAAACGGGAGGCGCTCACAAATCACCCATTCGAGCCAATGGTGTAGATCCCGCGTACGTTGGCTGACTAGGCAAAGGTTTAGGGAATTCTGGCGGCGCGTAGCTTCTTGGGCTTCTTGCTCATAGTCCTCGTGGTTGCGTCGTAGGTGGTTTAGTAGATTCGTGTAGCCGTTGCCCTTCTTGTACTGCTTGCCGCAGGTCGTGCAGTTGTAGAAGCCGTCACCAACCTCAGTGAAGAGCATTGAGCAAATTTGGCTGCTCGTTAGGGGACCATGATGGGCAGAGAGGGCACTGTAGCGGTAGAGGGGTGCCCAGAAGACTGTAGATTGAATTCTGAATGGATGTTTGGTAGGTTTGGACGTGGCCGGCACCCTGTATTGTAAATGGCTGGTAGCAAGCGACCCTGTGGACTTTGTTGGCATGTACCATAGCAATTTATGAATGAATTGTAATAAATTAAAAAATGAATTGAGATGTAAGAATTAATAATTAAATTAAAAATTAGGATTCATTTTTATGCATATTATTTTTTCGGGTTCCCTGATAGAGGAACTTTTAAATGATTCATCAATTGACATGTAAAGTGCTTTTTTGGAGGCAAGCATCAAGCCGTAGATAGAAGAATTGCAGTATCACTCTATGCAGAATCTACATGATACTTGTTTAAAGTCGAGACTGTATGAGCTCACGGAGGTCGATAGCGGCCCTGATAATGCACACGTGGACACGGTCAGCTAACAGTATGCGCCCGTCATTATGAATATTATGCTTCTTGGCTACGCCGTACTTGTAATAGTTGGTGTCCGGCGTTTTAAAAATTGTGCAGTTGCTGCACATATTTTCTAGGTCTGCCCCTCGGAGATATAGGCTCCACTCTTAATGCGTTTTTGAATGCGTTGGAGGCCCACTGGATCCTTAATGTGGTCAAGGTAGTCGACTACGATCCTGGTGTCCACGGGCTCGTGAAAAGGCCATGCACTCCGACGGTTAGAAACTGCCTTGGGTAACTGAAAGAGCTGCTGCCTTGATCGCAAGCTCTAGAAATGACAATTGCTGGCATCTAAGTAATCTGACGCTGGTGTCAGAAAGGATATATGTGGATGCTACGCACCGTGAGCGCACTGTTGCCGAATGTACAGCAGGTATCGGGTTCACCTTGCGCTTCTTGAGAGTCAACTCATCGCTGATAAGGTCCTCAGCAGCGCGTGCACCGAATAAAGTCGCCAAAGCATTCTTAACCGACTCACTTAGTAGTGGTGGAGCCACAACGATGACATGAACTTTTCCCTCTGGAATTTTGCTGAGTAGTACTTTGTTGATCTTGTCTGTCGGGTTGGCCATTTCCCTCAGCATATAAAGGTCCATCTCTTGGGAACATTTCCCTTCCGGCTCATAACTGGATTATTCGAGCTTGGCCACTTGCCACTCTGTGACATTGCGAAGAAGAGATGCAGCTCATCGGCGTCCACATACTTCAAGCTGTTTGGCTTCTTCTCTTTAATCGAGTCCTTTAGGTGGCCCACGGACAGGGTTGTGTCGATATCTACAGGGAACGCAATCATACGGAACTTCTGTGACAGAACCATATTTTGAAAATGCTCCGGAGTACAACATGCCTACTTTTTGCAAGAAAATAGAGTCCAGAATCGATTCTAGATTCTAGTCGCGGCAGATAATTTACCCAATTTTAGAAAGGTGTATTTGTTTTGTGAAACATGTTTTTAGCCTGCAATACAAAACACGAGCCCATCAGTATCCACACGTTGCCAAAATGGCAAAACGCAGCGACGCCGAGAAGTCGGCCGTCAACTTGGACGACATCGACTTTGACGAGCTGGACGACTATCTGGAGCTGTTTCAACAGGACGGTGTGATCAAAGAGGCTTTATCCAAGGGCGTGGACCTGCGTGAGTATGCACAACAGATCGAAGAGGAGCTGCGCGCGGCCGAGGCGGCGTCTGTATCCCAGTACGTCATGAAGTCCGCTGATATCGTAGAGCTGCACGACGAGGTGCAGGACTGCGATAATCTATTGGCTAAAATGCAGGAGATGCTGCTAGGTTTCCAGGCCGATCTAGGCGGCATCAGTGACGAAATCCGCCACTTACAGGACGAATCCATTGGGATGAACGTAAAGCTCAAGAATCGCCGTGAGACGGAGGATAAACTACAAACCTATCTAGATCAAGTGGCAGTGGCTCCATCTCTAGTTAAAACTATAGATGAAGGGGAAGTGAACGAGGCGTATCTCCACGCTTTAGTCACACTCAACGGGAAGCTCCGCTACGCAGCACTAAGCGACCCCGACCCGTCCGGCTCCAGCTTTGATCTGGTCCCGTCACAAACTGCAGCTTTTAACGACGTGGAGGCTCAACTTAAGAAATTAAAAGCAAGAGCTATTGCCAGGATTCGCGAGTTCTTACTGGCCAAGATGAACGAAGTGAAGAAGCCGAAAACCAACGTGCAAATGGTGCAGCAGAATACGCTACTACCTATGAAGTATCTGGTGACTTTTCTGGCAGACAACGCGCCGGGAGTGGAGGAGGAATTCAGAGAAGTGTACGCTGAAGCCATGAGCAAGACGCTGGTGAACGTGTTCAAGTCGTACCACACAGGACTCATGAAGTTCCACGAGGAAGTAGCAGCTCGTACTGATGTCATTGTGGTGGACGAGCAGTCGTTGAAAGGGATTTTTAGCTACCGCGTGAATTTGAGCAAGAGGAACGACACATTCTCAGTTACTGAGCGTGAGAAGATCTTGGAGACGGCGTCAGCACCGCCGTTGATTCTCCATGTTGCTCAACAAGAAGGGCTGAAACTATCGTATGAAGCAGTGTTCCGTAACGTGCAGCAGCATCTGATGGACTCAGCTACATCGGAATATCTGTTCTTGATTAAGTTCTTCAAGCCTACCAACCAACAGGAGAACGTGTTCCGTAGTCGTGACTTGTTCATGCGTGTGTTTGCCAAGACACTGTCGCTATGTCTCGAGAATATGGAGAACTATCTGTTCACGTGCTACGACGCCATTGGGCTTCTGCTTATGATCCGTCTTACATACGCTCAGAGATTGGTGATGGAGAAGCGTCGTATCCCGTGTTTGGACGCGTACTTTGACCGTGTGGCGCTGCTGTTGTGGCCGCGTTTCAAGGCTGTTTTCGATCTCAATTTGATGAGCGTGAAGAACGCAAAGGCCAAGAAACTGGGACCGATTGATCTGCATCCTCACTTTGTCATTCGACGCTATGCTGAGTTCGCCTCCTCCATCCTCAGCTTGAGTATGTACACGCAGCAGAATCATACCAAGTCTGGTGACGACTCTGCGATCTCGACCGCTCAGATGCATGAAAACGGAGCAGGTGACATGGTTCTAAGTAACTTGACGGCGATGCGGGACGAGATCCTGAGCTTATTGAGTCGATTGTCGGAGCAACACAGCAATGCGAAGGACAAATGCGTGTTCCTTATCAACACCTACGACCTCGTACTCACACACTTCGAGGAGAGACGTGTCATTTCAGAGGAGACTTCGAAGTTCGAGGAGCTGCTGGCTGCTCAGCGGGAGAAGTTCGTCGAGGAAGAGCTGATGACGTATTACGCCAAGCTTATCCAGTTTGTTCGACTACATGAGCAAGTTACACTCGGCAAAGGAGGCTCGTCGACGGGAAGTAGCCAGCAAGTTGACACTGCGCAGGTAGAGAAGATCGTGCGGGAGTTTGCAGCGACGTGGAAGGCTGGCATCGAGAAGATGAACAGCAATGTGATGACGTACTTCTCGAACTTCCGCAACGGCATGGAGATACTTAAGCAAGTTCTCACGCAGTTGCTGCTGTACTACACGAGGTTTGTGGAGATTATCAAGCGGAACTACCAGCGACCTCCTTCATTCAACTCGGAGATTGTGACGACGCAGGAGATTCTGTACGAGATCAAGAAGTATAGTCGGTCATTCTAGCGTGTGACGGAAGGTAACAAAAGGTGAAGTTCATTGTTGTAATTCACTCACGCTTGTTCCCAAAGTGACGACGTTTGGCTCTGATCTCTATCTTTTTCCTGACCTTCACTCAAACTTCAGGAATTCGTGTAGATGGTCTTTGTGCTCTATACTCCCACCATAATTGGCGTCGGATCGATGTTGTACCCGAGCACAAGCACGATGAGACCGTAGCCCAGCGTGACAATCAACGCCATTGTTACGAGGGAGAACGTCACACCAACACGCAGAAAGTCTTTCACCTCCAGATACGGCTGGCCGTGGTCGTCCAGAACCAAGAGTGAGTTGATGTTCGGGAAGGACGAGAACGGGAGCGCCATCGCTGCAAGACAAGGACATCGGTTGTTAGCGCTTCGTGGCTACATGTGCAGCACAAATCATCCTTACCAGCAGAGATTGCCAGCGCACAGCAGATCACGGGAATGTGCGGGTGTCCGATCTGGATTGCCATTTGCACGATAATTGGCAAGAGAATGATGGACGCGACCGTGTGCGAGACGAAAGTAGTCAGGCAAATCACCATACTGCACAGCGAGACAGTGACCATCCAAACGTTTCCAGAGGGGAGTGCATGGATGACCGTCTGACTGAGAGTGTCCAGTAGGCCTGATCGTTGCACAGCCTGCAATAAAGCACGCAGTTTAATCACTCATAATTGTTGCCAAAACATCAAAGCAAGGCCGTACATCTCCCAAGACGTTGCCACCGCCGATCAGGAACAAGATATGCCACGAGAACGAGTTGAAGTCGAATTGGCTGAGCATGCCCGTGCCAAACATGATGAACTGCAAATTAACAATACAGTTAGCATTAATGAAGCGTAGACAAAGCTAGAGTATTGCAGGGACTTACCATGAACATCATCGAGATGATACCCAAGTCTCCGAATGTCGCGCTCGTCACCGAGAATGACGCCCACAAGAAGATGGTCAGAAGCGTCATGGAAACGACAACGACGTGCAGGCTGCTGATCTTTTGTTTCTGGTCATAGACAATCTGTGGGATGTACGTCGCATCGCGAGGGTCCATTACCCACAGCAAGAACGCCCAACACTACGCGCACAATGGCAGTTGGTAAGTAAGCAGAAAAGGGTGACAGCTCATGACATAATTCCGCTTACCATAATCGTGCCGACAGTGCAAAACGGAATAGCCATCGCCATCCACTGGCCAAAGGTGACGGTGTATCCAGCCTTCTCCAAGAACGACACTGCAAGCGTGTTTTGTAGTGAGGAGATTGGCGTCATCATCCCTCCAAGGTTGCAGGCAAAGGCCAGACCAATAAGCAGTGTCTTCACGTAGGTGCTGTCCTTGGGGAAATCCCTGATGATAGGAAGCAGCACCGACACACACAGCACAGGAGCTGTGTGGTTACTGATCCACATTGACAGGAACAGTCCCATCATCATAATTGCCAGCAGGAACAGGTTCGGACTCTTCTTGAATCGACGTTGCAGGAACGCAGCGATGTAGAGCTCGATCTGGCATTTAGAGAACGCAGCCGAGATGGAATAACTAAGCCCGGAAGGCACGTTAGTCAAGTGTCCAAACCTGTAATAATAAAAACGTCATCATACGCACCCGCCCATGATAAGGATAGTGGTGTGGTTGACCAACATGGACATCACTTCCTTGGCGGATTGCTCTACAAACAGACGTCAGCAAATCACTGCTACAGTGGAGAAACGATTGGCCACGTACTTGCAGTGAGCAGATGGTCCGGGTGGGCCTTGTCGTTCAAGATGTGTAGAAACACAACAAGCGGGGGGACAAGAAGCGCTGTGGCGAAGTACGGGAGGGCCTCCGTCACCCACAGAGTTGTGATAAAAACGAGCATGGCCAGGCATCGCTGTTGTACATCCTCTCCTGTAAAGTATCAAGCAACGACACAATAAATAACCTTGATCCCAAGATTCAGCTCGTATAAACTATCCTCACCTTTTGGCGTGATGCGAACAAGCAGGAGGAAAACAAAAAGCGCCACCGAGATGCAAAAGGGGACGATTTTCACCTAAAAGGGCAGGAAATGATAGGCAGAATCCAGTACGGAACACGAACGAAGCTTCAGTACAGCCCCTTCTCCAGCGGTATCTTTTCAGCCGTAACACTCACCTTACGAAGCAGTGAGTTCTGGTCCCCCTGCATTCGTCGCATACGTCGCTCCATGTTTCCTGCCTCCAGTTTATCCCTGCGACCAGGTCGTACATGATGTCAACATTTGTCATCTCCATCCAGCATGACAATCATCCAACGCACCTGGACGTGAGACCAAACACGCGCTCCAACAGATCATCGATATCAGTAGACGCGTAGAAGCGCTCGTTGGCCAGTCGCTCCATGAAAGCTTCCTGCGTGTGAGCCTTGATCGTCTTGTCAAACTGCAGCAATAACCCAACTCGTGAGCAACCACAGCATACACTCTAAGACCCAAGGACTCTCATGTACCTTCTTGACGATCTTACGGAAGCCCGAGTGGTTGATCTGCACGAACATGCGCAGATCCACCAGCGTGTCGTAGATTTCCTGCAGCGCCGCAAACCCGTGATCCGCTACAAGCACATTGTCAGCCTCTCAATGACCCAAATAGCTGGCAGAATACTCGTACCTTGCGAGTGGGTACGTGAGCGCGTGTGCACGTGGCCTGTGGGTGTCTTCTCGTCCTCCAGCATGGTCTCGAACTCGCCCACAGACCTGGTGAGTTTGACTACTTTGCCCACGTAAAAGTCGTTGACGATCTTCAGGTTGGCATCCAGCACCTCCCAAAACTGATCCTTGGCGTCCTGCACATCGTTCACCACGGGCTTGAGCAGCGGATGGGTCTCGTCCACAGTCACCTGGAGCTGTACGTCTCCGGCGTTGTGCTCCATCTTCTGCTGCAGCTTCTTCTGCTTGTTCTGCTTCTTCTCCACCTCGAAGGCCACACGCTTAATGAGTCGTTTGAGGCGCTTGTACTGCACGTAGTTGTCGCGCCATTCCGGGTTGGCCGAGATCTCGAGCTGCTTGCCGAACTTCATGGCGTCAAGAGTGAATGTCGGAGCGGTATCCGGCGGTTTAGTAAGTGGCTCAGCAAATGAGATGGCCGTAAAACGGGCGATCAAGGATCATAATTTGAAGCAGTTGATCCAGCAACCTAAAAACGCTACAGCAACTTTACAGAAATCTTCCGGCTTGCAGTTTTGACTCTCGCAGGACAAATCAGAGCCTAACCGAGGAAAATTTACACACAACTGTACATGTACAGTAGCAACAGAAGGCTCAGATCTTTAGGCAGCACTAAGTTTTACATGTACACGTACGTGCCGTTATGGTTCTTGTTTGATAGTTGTTGCAACGGGGTGCAGCTTTATACATGTTAACTGGAGCTGACGCACATAAACGATGAGACATGTCTTCGTGTCACCTGCGCTTCGGGCGACATTTCGCCACAAAAGACTTGAATAAGAATAAAGAGCTCCTATCAACCATGGCGTTCCGTCGCGAGGTGTCGCCGCTGGACAAGATGATACTCAAGTTCATCTCCAAGGCGCCACGGCAAGTGGACATCATCGTCAATGAGAAGACGTTAGAGCGCGCACACCGCATCGGGAAGCCGTCCAAGTCGCGCACGCATAAGGCTAAGCAAGAGGTCATTCGAGCGCTATTGCGCGGCGGAAGGCTGGGCGACGACACACTGCCTCAAAGCTTCTTCCATTCAAGCATGACGCGGGTCGAGATCATCGGTGCGAAGATATCGACGGTCTTTGTGGAGATGGTGAGGCTACGTGACTGTACTTTTGAGAGAGACGATACTGACGAAATGCTTTTGTTTTATTTGCCGTGTAGCTGTCCAAGACGTGCCCCAAGCTGCACTCGGTTAACTTCTCGGGGTGTTTCCGACTCACGGATGACGCAATTGAGTTGCTGCTCAAGAACTGTCCAGGTACGAGGTGCTTATAAGTATGTTTTGTTTAGTATTAGTGGACTAAATACTATTCTTTCAGAGATCAAGGAGCTGAACATTGAGAACTGCCGCAAATTGACGGACTTGTCGCTGGATCATCTGCGTAAACTCGCTCCGAAGTTGCAGGTGCGTTTGAGTAAAAAGGGATGAACTTCGAAGTTCTCTAAACCTTCTTACGTGCTGATACAGAGCATTGATGTCGGTGGCAACTTCAACATGACGATTTCTGGCATTACGAAGCTGATCGAAAAGCACCCGAACCACTCCAAGTTCACGAAAGTCCATATTTCTGGTCATGCTGCGACGGACCAGTACGTATCCAATCAATAAGCAAAAAATTCGGAGTTATTTTGCTAACAGGTTTTGTGAATTTTAATTGTGTAGAACGATTAAGACCATCATGGCCAAGTGTCGGAAGCTGCACAGTTTAAGCGTCGGCTATTGCGCCATCACCGATGAAGCTTTGATTGCGCTGCTGAAGAAACGCGAATCTGTATCGCGTCTGTGTCTGCATTGGAATGTCGCCATCACGTTCGTTAATCGTCGTCCAGCTCAGTCACCCCTCTCTATTTCTCGTATCTTACCGTGTGTTCCTTGTCTCCTTTTAGTGACCAATTGCTGCGCTTTCTCGGGTCAGAGGCCCGTAACTTGCAGGAGTTGAATCTATGCGGTGTCAAGAGTGTCTCCGCGGATGTAAGCAAACCTTGTACTACATTGTAGAATGGAACAAAGGGAGCTCACTTTGATTGCACATTGCAGGCGATTGTTGCCGCGATCCACGCGAAAATGGGCATTCGAAACGAGCTGCTAGATTCTACATTACCTCAGCCTACGCTCGACGAGAATCCCGAGCCAGAGCGTAAGCGCCTCAAGAAGATTGACTTTCGCTACACAACGTAAGTATTTCCTACCTCTTTGAAGCGAACGAGCAAGCCACTTACATTTTTCCGTCGTTAGTGTCACGAAGGAAGCAGCTGCGTCTGTCAAGGAGCGGTATCCGGAGCTACAAGTCACGTTCTAAGCCGAAGACAACAGCAAATACACCTTCGCAGCAATTCTTGTCATTATTTCTTTTTATTTACTATGCAACATGCAATATGGAAAAGTTATCACGCATTTCTTACTCCATGACATCGTCATCAAGCTCGTCACCGGCGTAATAGATATCGTGGCCGGCTGTCTGTTCGTCACCGTCGAGACTAGTGCACAGCGTGATCGCCAGCAGGAGCTTCTCGCGCATGATTTCTTCACTTGAATACACAGGTAGTTCGATATTGAAGAAGCACGTATCAGCCTTAGGCAACAGCGCGTCCTGGTTCACTCCGCTGTCTTGGGGTGGCGCCTTGATGAGCAAACGAGTGTGTGTTCGATCAAACTCTGCATCGTCAGCAGGTAGAGTGTCTTGGCCCCAAGCAAAGTTGATAAAACGGCGCTTGTTCTCCTCGCTGAAACTCGACAGCACTTTCCAGAACATCTCCAAGTGCGGGTACTGCTCAGGGCTCATGCCCGAAGAGTAGCGAGTGTGGCGCTTGAGCAGATCAATATCAATTTTCAGACTGCCACTCACCCATTGCTGCAGCTCAGACCACACACACAATTGCAGCAACTGGACTGGTACGATCTTGCCTAGACCACGCAGCATAGCGTCCACCTGGGGCTTGCACTCCTGCAACCGAGTGGCTTTTACAAGTCGAATGTACTCCTTCGCATTGGCCTTCGTCACAGATAGCTGTTGTCCTCCAGTCTTCAGCTCGACGACTGTTCCATCACTGAGAGTTGTGGTGAACGAATCGAACAGTACCTCGCTGAGGTCGTCACTTGGAGCGGACGCGAGTTCTTCGAGGAATTTCAGACTCTCGCACAGCGAGTAATCTACACTCTCGAGATCCGTGAGGACGAGATTTTGTTTGACTAGCATCTTCCATACCAGCGGCGCCAGACGGAGATTGAGTCGAACGCCAGTGCGCAGACAGCAGCCCATCAGGATTCCAACAAACTCGAACATTTGCAACAACTCTTTGGACGTGCTGCTCGGCTTGGGCATGTAGCGTTCGCGGAACTCTCCTGCCTTCATGACATTGTTTTGTGTCGGGATGAATAGCGGGTTGCCGCTGGCAAGCAACTCGTTCGATATATCGTTGAAAAGCTGGCGGTACGGACCTCCCTCGCCTACGACATTCTCACCCGCAAAGATGACAATAAACGACACAAAGGGGTCGCTTGCACCCGTCGGTCGCTTCGCACGCAGCAAAGATGGAGAGATAGCACTCAATTGCTTCATCGTCGAAGCAAACAGAGATCGTCTGGGATCGCGTAGAGCCACCAATGATGTCGCGGCCTCCGTGGTGCTAGCACAAACGCCTCCGCGCTTGCCTGCGATCTTCCTTCGGTCGATCGTCACCATGGGTCGCTTAGCATTCGTATCCACGAAGACAGAATGCGCCAGCGTCGTGTTGTCTTGAGTCTGGGCAAAAAAACGAATCTTGACTCCGGGGAAAATCAACTGGCGTATCGACACAATACGACTGCGTAACGAGCTTGGGTCGCTCCATGGACGAAGATTTACAAGAGGTAACGCTTCAACCAGCAGCTTGTTCAGCGATTGCAATACCGCAAACCGAAGTCGCAAGTCGCGCGTCTCAAGTGAAGCTATCTGCATGTACTCGCGCGCATGGCTTGCATTCAAATGGCTTGGACACAAATCTGTCAACATGAGCACACCCATTCTCCCACTGAGCTCCCGACATACCGCAATGAGCTGACAGTCCATCTGGTGTGTCCACTTCGCTTGAGCTTTCATCGCGTCGTCCATAGATCCATAGTGGCTCAGTTCGAATTGAAGATCATACCCTGATGAGCGGAGCCACTTGTACACTGCCAGAGTTTTGTCCTTTACCTCGGACAGCGCCTTCGCTGAAGTTAATTTGTTTAATCGCTTCTCGTTCGATAGATCTTCCCATGAAGATTTCTTCGTCACACCAGCTAACACAGCGAGCGCCTCAATCGCCATCTTGCTAGCGGGTGACGAGGAATACTGAGATATGTCATGCTCTAGCACACGACGGAGCTCTATAGTCATTCCACTAGCTTCGTCGGCATCGGCTTCAGTCCAGAAAAACCGGTGGTGTAGGAAGCTAGTCACCTGCTTGGGTGCGTCACTGGTTTCATCTGCTACGCGTACCATGTCAACAAATCGAGCAGCGCTAAGTTTGTATCGCGAAGATGCCTCAGTATCCGCACCATCAGTCACTGGATCACTCTCATTCTGGGTACTGTCTTCCCTCGTAGCAGACGATGGAGGCACTAAATCTGCACTGCGTTCCATTGTGCACGCGTCACAGGTCGTATCTGTCCAACTGTTAGCAAACGTGCAGGTGGTACATGACCAGCCGCTAGAAGCAGCAGCTTCCAATCCAGTCGTCTGTGCTTCGGACCTGGCTGACAGTGACGGGGCCTGAACATCTCGAGCCAAATTCGCCATTTCTGGCGGGATAGGAGAGCCGCATGCTGCACACCCCGCATCGGCAAGAGAGTTTTCCAGCGTACACACACTGCAGGCCCAGACATCACCGCTTGGGTCAGCACCATCAGAGCAGCAGTCATTTCCATCGTTCGATTTCCCACTGGAGCTCTCTGGAGGGCGACACACAGCTTCAATTCTAGCGAGTAGCTCATGATCTTCCTCCGTGGCAGTCCCACCTTCAAACTCGAACGTTTCCTTGGAGATTCGAGTCAGCAAGTCGTCGATCACGTCAGCTCGGCCAACATCTATCATGGCATAGCCCTCTGTTTGGCCTTCAGCGTTGACCGGCATGTAGATGATATTGGAAACAATGCCAAAACGAGTGACGGCAGCAGCGGAATACACGTTTTGGTCATCGGCCTCTCCGCATTCCTCCAGTGCTAGATGCACAATGAACTTTGACACGCTCGCCTTTAGCTCCGCAACATTCGACGTGCGTGGCAAATTCTGCAGAAAGATGATCCTTTCGCCGAACAAATCATGTGTAGCGAGAGCAGTCTGTGCTGTCTGAATCTCCCGAATAGGAGCACGACCGCAGTAAACTCGTTTGAAGGCGTCAGGAGTCGCAATTTCTCGCTTTCCTTGGGCCAACACTCTGGTAAACACAGCCATCCGCACAAACTCCTTCCACCAAGCACCGCCAAGTATTGATGATGATCCACCCTTGAGTGAGGATACTTCTTCAACCAGGGAAATGAGTTCGGCCAGCTGCTGAGTATACAGGGAGAAGAGACCCTTTTGCGTAGTACGTTCGTTGTCGTGCACAAAGGTTAACTCTTTCACCAGTCCTGACAGCTTAGCGATTGGAACCGAGTGCATTGCTCCCTTGCTCAAGGCGAAGTTGATCAGTTTAGCTGTGATCTGGTACACAGCAGTCTTCGCATTAGCTGGCAGACATGCAGTGGTCGCAATTAGGTACTCCACCAGCGCATTCAGCGCAGTAGTAAGCACAGTCTCCACTTCGTAATGAGAAAGTTGAACCGCCAACAGCTTCTGGTAGATCTCTTCGCACAACCACAGCGCCAATCCAAAATCAGCAGTGAAAGGATCCACACGAAACTTGTATCGAGCGTAGGTACCTTGGGACATTCGCACGTAGCATTTGTCACCAGGAACCACGAGCGGGGGCAGATAACTAAGTCCACGCTTATCTCCAAAGTACCCAAACAATCGATCTGTGCACCGTTCGTCGCGGAAGAATTCCAGGCTACTTCCTGCGGGTAAATCCATCAGGACGGGATGTACAGCGAAAGATAGCACCAAACAGGTCGCGTCTGGAATGTGAATCAAAACCAATGGCTGAGGGGGACTGTCGCTGGTCACCATGAACGATCTGCTTCGCAAGAAGGCACTGGACAAGTCGAGACTAGTCTTCAGCTCCGACAGCAGTGCCTCCATCAACAAGTAGCGGTGCTTTCGTGTGGACAGTGCCGGTGTCACATCGGGTTGCTGTAGCTTCGGTTGCGTAGATTTCAGAGAGGTGCTAGATCCACTTGATGAAGGCGCCGAGCTCGATGAAGACGAAGTGGCAGCAGAGGAAGCACCAACGGCAGCTAATTTACCCGCAAGGGCACCTTGTTTGCCACGCTTCTTATGTTTCTTCGCCGGCATTGTTACCATTACGCTGGCATTTTCGTCATAAGATGTGGATCTGTCCATTACCGGGGGAGGGGGGCTAGAAGCAGCACGTTCAAACTGCTTGTTCAGCACCGTCTGCAACACCGTGATCAACGCTGTTTTCGTAGACACTTTTGAGCGTAAATACAGACTGCTGCTGTTTTCTGAAGGAGCCCCAGGTGTTGAATCGGAGAGCATTCCCATCTCACACGACAGCACCTTCTCCGGGCATCCAAGATCAGCTGCTGCAGCCAGTCTGAGCAGATCCGCTAGGTCGTATCCATTCCCTGGGTTCTTGGGCAACGGTGTCGTCAGCTGCATCGTAGCCGTTGCGGTGTGTCCGATTGACGACGAGGATGGCAACGGAAGAGGAGACGAGCTTGTCCTCGCTAAACATGTTTTTCTAGTCTCGATCGATATCTTCATGGCATGCTCAGGAGCAACTTGCAACAGGTCAAACACGCTCTTTCGGGCGATGCTGTAGATGAGCTGTTGGTTCATCATCTTCAGCCGAGTCCTGCTCGCCTCAAAGTCCGTGACCGACTGCTCAGAGACCGACGACACCGACGACATCGCACGTAAGTTGTCAGCGTGGTACCACCAGTATTCACTGGCAGACGTCACAGGATTCACCACTTGGAGTAGCACCATACCCGACGAATCGACAACTCGGACAGTTCCTGAGTGGCCCAAAGTCCACAACATATCTCGAGACCAATCCGCAACATCCACGTTCTCCGAAGCAATCACATAGCGACCCCCAACTTCCACATCGTCGATTTGCAGAGCTGTCCAATCGGTGCCTGGATCTGGGTAGTGACAGCCTGACGGTACATGACCGTCACACAATGTAAACGCGATTTTTAACGCTGCGGCAGCATTCCCCTCTCTCAAAGGTTCACGTAGCTGGGCGAAAAAGTAGTCCATTTCGTAGCTCTTGAATGACCCCGATACGTACGTCTCGATCGCCGGGATGACATTCTTTTCCCAGTACTCCAGCATCTTGTTTCGCCCTGAATGTTGCGGCAGGTCACTGCGTCCGGAAAACGCGTACAGGTTATAGAAATATTCAGAAGGCTCGGGCACGGACAGTGCTCCATCACTAACAACTGACGAGAACGCAGACGAATCTTCAGGCGCCAATGTTGTGGGTCGAGGAACGCAAGTTTTATCGTCGCCGACAGAGAACGAACTTGACGAAATCGGTCGTGTCGCGAGCGAGAAGTGCACGTCTCGTGAGCGTAGCCACTCCATATTCCACAATAATCCACGCATGTCGGCGATATCTTCCACTTTCAAGTCACGTACGCACAATTGTGCAAGCTGAAAAAGAATGGCAGGGCAGTTTCCGTTCGTCTGTAACATTCAAACACGCAATATTTTTGTCAGCGTATCCATCAAAAACAGCACATGGTACACAAAAGATACGTACTGAGATCACTTGGTTGTCGAAAAGCGAGGGCCATGAAGGGGCCATGGCAGAAAATGACTGAACGAGAGCGCAAGCTAGCTCCCAACGTAGCAGAGATCCTGCAGTGGGCGTGCCATCTTCATCCATGTCATCGCTTTTGCCATCAGACGTCCACTCGTAAACTGTTTTTACCACAGCGCAAAAGGGAACAACGAGAGGTTCCAGTAATTCAACGGTATCTCTGTCAAGAGCGACGCTGCTGACCGCCTTGACCTCTGAGGTTGAGCGTTTGCAGAGGCAAATATCATCGTCACCCGCAGTGTCTCCATTTCGTGCTCCTTCCGTAGACCCATCCAGATTTGCAACCACCACGTCGTCATTGCCAAACGCGTACGAATAAACCACTCCTGTGTGCCCACCACGTGCCTTGTCAGCTGCATAACTCGACAACGAAACGTTTCCACCAATCCGCAATGGCTCGCGGAATCCCCCTAGTACCTGAGCGGCACCCAGCGTCAAGGAGTACGCATCACAGAGCGCACAATTCAAGTCGACTGCCTCCGTAATCTGGCGTGGCGCGTTTTCTAGCACTTCCGTCATCTTTCGCAATGTGCTGCTTCGCCATCTCTGCATATTCGACCGTCCAGAAGCCATCAAACGCAGCATAGCAATCACCTCAGACGCTAATCGTCGCCCATCCTCAACCTTGCGACCACTTCGACGTGTGTTCGAGTTGATCAGCGCCGCCTTCCTGTTAAGGGCGTTGGTGACCTCTCGATTTGCTCTTCTAGCCGCGTTTTTCTCGCTCGACACAGAAGATCGTCGATGAGAGAGACGTGATGAGCCAGGCTCCAGGAGAAGTTGCACGCTTCGTTCCCAGTCACGCAGCGAGTTTACGCTCGCCATATCATCCGAGTGCGCGACAGTCACGAGTAATCCCAAATTGGCCAGCGCGTTGGCAGTATCACAACATTCACGTCGACTACCACGGCAGTAAACAACGTATCCTTGTGCGTCAAGCAGTACGCGAAGCAAGTTTCCCTTCCACGGCTTTGATCCAACCAGAGCTGTCTCGGGTACAACACTCCCACCTTTCGAGCGGGGTTGCAGCAGGTCTCCGGTGCCAGTTGACTCGGTTAAGCGCACAAAAGGATGATCCACGTTGTGAGTTTGGTTCGTGTAACAGCTCGTGCACAAGTCGTAGTTGGGGCAGGTGAAACACTTGAGCCGGAAGCCACGCAATGGACTCTGATTACAGCCGTCACACCGCACACTTGGATGCTTCACTGTGGCCTGTGCTGCGGTGCATTCGGCCACTGCTTCCTTTACCGCCTTCTCCACGGCATCCTTCCCATCACTTCCATCAACGAGGATTTCCAACGAGCTCACATCTGGCTCGCCCACACTGTCAGCAGCATCTACCAACTTGTCAGTAGCCACCTCGTTCTGGAAAATAACGACAGAATGGTCCGACACCTTGCCACGCACGCTGTTACTTGAAGATGGCGCTGCTTTTAAGGTGTGGTCACTCACTGGAAGAGGAGACACGATCTCCCCGACTCGTTTTAACAACACATCTTGGATTTCCATTCCGAGAACCATTTTGGCTTCAGTTGGGCGTGTAATTGCCACCTCAAGATCGAACATATCATCTCCCAGCAACTCCAAAGCGTAGCGAATGAGCCTTGTGCTCGCCACACTCAAGTTTAGCAGAGCATTCGGCGTTGCCACAAGGTCAATTCCGCGCTGAATCCACCAGCTAAGCATTTCTGGCCACTGATGAAGGCCAGAAACTTTGCTCACCACGGTGCACAAGAGACGGAACGTCGCTTCGTCGGAAGCTCTGGCAATGTCGGGTTGCTCCGTAGCCGTGCGCATCCCCTGTTCCTTCTGTTTGACTGCAAAGTGCTCGTACAAAGCCCTGAGCTCGCCAAAAACCTGTTTCATCGATACTTTCCACGATGTCTCCGATGCATCTTGTTCTGCGCCATTCTCGAAGGTTTCTTCAGCCAGCAATCTCAGTAAGATCCAAGCAATATCATACACTTGTCCATGAATTTCGTGTACATCGGCGGTTTTATAAAGCAGCGCATCCTTGTCAGCCGAAAGTTCCTCAGCATACGACCTCATCTCGCCATCTACAGTAACAATCAATTCCGAGACTCTTTCCAGACCAACGACCCGGCTTGAAATACTGTCCAATGAATGCGCGCAGTTCCAAATCTCCGCTAAAGCCACAGCTCGAAACGCAGGCAGCGCATCTTTGGACTCCGCAACACGAGCGATCGTCCTTGAATATGAGTTCAGCCTAATCACACAGGACCAACACAATTAAGTACAACATGGATCGAGAACCTGATAAGCGAAAGATAGCAGTACTTACGAAGCCATGGTCTTGGCGAGGAGACGAGGGTTAGCCAACGCGCACCCTGAGAGAATGGCATCGTCTTGCACCACGTTGCTCGAAGGGACAGCATACAGAGCGCGACCGACGAAGAACTGGGCCATGTCTTCGTTCTTCAGATCTGCAAATGCCTTCTCGCAGTAGCCAACACCAGCGAGACGCGATTCTAGACGAGCTGAATGAGCCGTCGAGCACTCTTCTAGAGCAGAAATCGACACGGTGCTGCATAGAAATTTACTCACATCAGGCAAACAATCGGATACCGCTGGGTGGATTGGTGTCGAAACAGATTCCAAGTAGGTGCTGCCGTGTTCCACGCATTCTTCCCATCTTCTCAGTAAAAAACGAGCTTTCAACGACACGGCTTGAGCTACTGCGTCATGAGAACCTGACGGCTGGGAGTGCGCATCCTCATCTTTCTCATGCTTTACAGCAATGTCCTTGACAAGAAGTTCATGAATCGACTTAACACAACTTGTCACGTCGCTATTCTTGAATGGTACACTCTTCAGATGGCAGAGCTCTGAAAGCCGATCCAGGTTATCTGCATATCGCTCCATCAATTCATCCAGACTAACCTCATCGATGCACAGGTAGTGCCATTCGCTTACAAGTTGAGCTTGACGCAGCATCCAGCGCTCCAGTTTCCCCAACTCAACTGCAATTCGATGGAAAAGAGCGTTCTCAATGTCATTAGACAACACGGTACGGTTCTCCACACCAGCCATCCATGCTTCTATCAGATGATGCTTCGAGCGCACCAACAGAACTGCAGCAGCCTCTTGCAGTGCTTCATTCCAACGAGCGGTCAAATGCTGAGGAGGTAAAGTACGAAGCCGTACGTATTTGGAAAGCGTCGAGAAAAAGACATCTCCTCGCTCTGCGTGGTTCACAACGTCATCCACGAACTTCCATCTAAATTTCAACACATTGCATGTAGGAGCTGCCAAGTTGAATAGCTGCCGCTCCATCACCCACGGTTGACACATTTTCTCTATACCTTGCAGTGGTACGCCACGCAGCAGTTTGTCTCCAAGTGCACTGCATGCATATGCTACAGCGCATCCTAGCTCCGGTAGCCATGCCCTCTGTGGAGAATCAAAGAGACCACGCACGGTACACTTGAGACCCCATCGCTGTTTGTCCACAGACCCACTTCGAGCTTGCGTTGTTGCGCATAGCATGATCGTCGCAGTATCTCCTACCACGGTAAGCCCTCCAGCCGGCCAGTTTCCTCGCGAATATGACCCAAAGAAACAGCCTCCATCTTCGCCAAAGCCAACGTCTGCGTAGGGAAGCCGGTCAGCTTGATACCAAGCAAGTCCAGACGTAATGAACACGATATCAGCTTCTCCGGAGGTCCGACAGCGTGGGTCGAACTCGAAATGTAGCACGCTAGCACCAGGAATGTGCACAACACGGCGAAATACGGGCTGTGTGTGATTGTACGGATGTGGTGTCTCCACGACTTGATATCCTCCAAAAAGGGCGGCATCGTCGAGCGCTGCCCTCCGCCGAATCCCGCGTGTGCCATCATTCGAGCAGATGGTCGTATCAAGCACTCTCATCAGGATAAGCAAATGATCTCTGAATTCGCTAGAGAAATGATCCGGATAATTCGGGATGAAAGCAATTATCACGGGCAAGATTGTGCCCACTACCGATGCTTGTAAGTCGCAGCCACTAGAAGAGTCACTTTGGTAGCAACGTAGCATTTCTAGACAACAGTCAAGGCACGCGCGCGCAAAATGTTCAAACGTCGCCGTTGCTTCCAGCACCTCTTGCCCCACCTCTTTGAGCGATGTGGTCGGTGTTAGCTCCATACTGACAGCATACATTCGAGCACAGCAATAGTTCATAACGGCATGTAAAGCCTTGCTTACCGGGGTTTGAAACGGTAAGCCGTCGACCTTGAGCACCCACTTCTCCCGGTGGGTGCTACTTCTACTTTCAAGCTTGGACAACGCGAGAAGAACCTCCAAAAATCGAGCGAAATCGTCGGCTTCTGTTGGCAAAAAGTCGGCAATTGCGATACGCCCATCGTCCATCGGACTGTAAAGTAATCTCCTTAGTAAATCCACGCCACAATCACGCTTAGTTTGCAGTACCAAGAAATCGTGGGGCTCCAATAAAATCGCAAAGTACGACTCCGGTAGCTCGGGCATCGTGTCTTCGCTATCGCTCCCACAGCCGATAACATCTTCGCACGCAGAAGCGAAAAACTCAGATCGATGGCTTCGGCAGAAAATACCCTTGCGTATCCCCCAAACCAGCAGAAAGTGTGCGGAAATAACAATTTTCGAACGTTCGCGTTGCGTAGCTGCATCCTCCGACGCTTGGCCTGACACCTGACCGCTATAAAGACGTCCAGAGATATCCTTTAACTCACACTCGGTGTCTTTGAACAGCTCTTGCGTGGCATCATCACTCGCATCAATTTTCATCGTGACCCCAACAAATTCATACTCCTGCACCGTCTCCGCCAAAATACGCAAGAGGTCTGCTACAAGTCGATAAACTGCTGTTAGTCTGGTTGGACCATCGCCATCATCTCCATCTCCCTTAAACGGGAGCATTTTGCAATAGCGATTAGTAGCTCGAAGAATCTGGAGCACACCCTCGTCCTCGAAATCCACGCAAAAAGGAATTATGTAGCCAGGCAAGTCCTTAGCAGGCAACCGATCCAGCTCCTTTAATCGTGCACAAATATTCTTGATCCGGCGATTCTTTGGCTTGGTGCTCAAGTCGCCGTCCTTATGGTCAGATGGTTTATCACTCGCGGGTGGTGCTGGTTCACGCCCTGTTTGAAAAAGTATGTCCTGTAAACCAGCCCGCGGATGTTTGTACGCCGGAAGAGCTGCTCGCTTCCGCATGAGCTGTGCAAGTTGAGAGATAATGAGCTTTCCAGTATCTGCTAGTGTAGCACAGTCTGGCTCCGGTTGCTTCAGAGCCTGTCGACTTTGTTGCACATGGTCCACGTACTCTTCCAGACAATTAAGATAGCCCGAGAACACAAGAATCCGTTTCCGTCTCATGTCAACGCAAGTCGGCGATCCTGCTGGTATTCCCTTTAGTAGCACGGGCTTGTCTGCAAGTAATGAGCCATTTTCCAACGAAAAGAACCAGGACGCATCACTTGAGCTAGCAGCACGCTTTGCCTTGTCGCTGTGTTCCTCACTGGCAGTATACAGTCCTGGGGGCGAAACCACGCATAGCTGTCCATGAGTTGCGAAGAATGTACCGGCAATAAGCAGCACCGGATCTAGCGCACCCGATTTGGGCTTTGCCGCAAGAATAACGCTGGACACTGTAGGAATAACCATCGGTTCCCGGAGATACGCCCCACACGTATGCAGCCAAGTCGATGCTTCATTAAGCTGAAGTCCGTTCCTTCTGAGCGCTACTTGACACTCCTTGCGGGAGTATAGTCCACACCAGAATGCTGCAAGATCATTCACCATTTGCTCTTCCGTCTGCTGCTTCTGCTTTTTCTTGTCGCCGACCTTCTTCTTTAACGAGACTCCGCGAGCGCTTTCAGCAAATAACGACACATCAACAGTGGAAAAGGGATCAATGCCTTCAGATACAGCCGTTTCGGTAGACGCGTCAAAATCACTGGCCACTGGACCATCATCTGCACTGGGAGCAGTCTCATCCAAAGCAGTGTTCACAGTAGACGACGCATCTTCTTCTGCAGCTTTACCTTCAGACGGTGACTTACTCATCGATGGTTTGTCAATCACCGTGGCGAACAGACATGACTCGCACAAATCGAAGTCACATCCCAAGGTACAGCGGTATCGCTGGGTAGCGTTGTCACCGAAGCAATTAGACATGCCACCATCGCACATCCACGAAGTCTGCGAAGTACACAAGGTGACCAGATGAGAGTGAAGTGCTGATAGGGTTTCCACACCACCCTGGGCTTCACTTGATCCACTAGTGCCTCGCTTATATTTATCTCTCGAAGGTGTCAAGTCCAAGAAGAGATCGATATCCGGCTCCTCGAGTTTCATGATGGAAGTAATAATGTCGACCTTGTGTCGATATAGCACAAACTGGTGACGTGGCAGTGGCTCAAGTTCGTTCTCACGGCTAGCGTTCACCGCCCCCTCTCCACCTTTAACTTGTCCAGAGCTTCTAGCATTCGGGAGGGGTTTCTGCTCGAGAAACCCGTCATGTTCCAGTACGATGTACAAGTCGTAGCATCCTTCGGCACCCCAGCGATACGTGTTAACGCGCTGATTCTTGTCCCATCGGACGGTAACCCCGCTGCCTTTCACACCTCCCCAAGTGCTTATACGTTCCACTGTACCCGGACTACCGTTATCTCCATCTTGATTCGACCATTTCCAGTCAGGTCCACGGATAACACGATCTCCCACGCTAATGCTGACAGCTTCGGGAGACTGTGGTGGCGATTTTGGACCACTGTCACTTTTACTGAGTACAGCATTCACAATCTCACTCACAGGCGTGGACTTCCTCGATTTATGACTGCGACTTCTGTGCTTGCGACTGCTGCTAGTTTTACTTGATAGCTTCTTGTAGGCATCAATGCAGCGAACCGTAAGCAAGTCAACACCGTCCGTAACCATGGCATACACGCTGCTTTCAGTCGTGCCTTTGCCTATCAACGCACGATTCGGAGCCAATACCAGTTCCTGCACATTCTGCAAGTCGTAAGTCTGGATACGATCCACACGATGGCCAGGCATAACAATGGTGCGGCAGTAGAGTGCATCGCCAATACAGCAGAGCCACGATCGTTCAGCATCACGACTGCGAACATACTCTTTGTTGTGGGCGTACACAAAATCGCGCACCGTGGTTCCATGTCCAGTACCAATCTTTAATAGCCCCGATCGCCCAAATATGTACAGATAGAGGCCATCCGTCGCAATAGCATCACTGGTTGAAGGCTGATATGAGCACACTTTCCATTGTGCCGATAGATCTCGAGGGAACGTGGCTGCAAGGATAGGCTCTGCAACGTGTTGTGCCAATCGCGAGTAGTACAAGTCCAAGAGTTTCTGCAATTCAGGACGATATGGCCCACCATCAGCATCTCTGAGGTACGTAGCTTGCCCCAGCTCGATGAACTGCAACGCTGCTTTGGTCAGGAGTGTGAATGATTGCAGCTGCACTCCCATCGCAAACAGCCCTAGTAGCCCAGCAAACACAGCGTCTGATACAGCTGGCGTTCGTTCGCTCGCTGTGAGCTTTAGGAACTCCGCGGCTTCAGCTGCAAACTTGCTTGCGTCGATCGGTTCATAAATTAGGCTTGTCTCCGGCAGCTCAGCTAGGCGAGATATAAACTCAATAGCCGCATCCGTGTCGTTGACCCATTCTAGTGGACTTCTGAACGGCAAGTGCGGCCATTTCCGCGGGAATAAGCTCGGTACGGTTGTTTCGACCGCGTCATCCTTCTGAGACGCCACAAGCAGCGCCTGCCTCTTCACCTCGTTGAGGCTTTTATCGCCCAATTTAGACATCTCCACTACTTTGTATCCTGGACCGGTCTCCAGCGCACGTTGGTAGCACACGCGCATAAACTCGCCTTGTTTGCGATAGCGGTAAGCATTGGCGCAGTGAACACGTCGCGTGAACGCGGCAATGGCTCGTCTAGCTCTGCGGAGCTGCATTTGTTGTCTAGTAGATCGCTTCTTTTGCGCGCAATCTCCGTTATCTCCTGATCTCGGGGGGATGTACAAGTCACGGAACGGCTCGAATATCTGCTCGAACGTGACGGCTCCGACGCCTGGTACTTTTGATCCAGCCGCAGTGGCTACTGGAGACATATTCTGCGGTTCTACTTGTGCCTTATCTGCCGATTCTGTCCTCTCCCGGGGCTGATGGATCTTTTCATCGTCCTCCTCCAACTCAAAGTCATCCACCGAGTCGTAGTCGTCATCGTCGCTTTCGTCCTGCAGACTCTCGAGCTCCGACGCAACGCTCCCATTCAGTAGGCGACTGAGTCTCCTTGATGTACGTCTGGACGCGATGCTGCTTGCTCGACGGCGGCGACGAGCGCGGCGCAAGCGACTTCTTTCGCTGCTGTCACTATCGCTGCTACTGCTGCTTGCGTCGCCGCTGCGGATCTCATTTATGCCTAGCACCGCACCTTCGTTGAAGAAGTGGAAGGTCTCCTCCGTCTCCACGAAGCGTCTGGGCGACACCATACGCAAGTTAACCCACTTCTTCGCGGCGAGCTTTTTTAGCGATTCTGCTGGAAGCTTCTGATACTGGGTTTAGATTCTATTTATGAGGATTTATGACGTATGACAGTGAGTCCGCATTGAACAAAGCTTGGCATCATGGACCCTCCGCCTCCCCCGCCGCCTTCGTCGGCGCACGCTCCGCCTCCACCCAGCAGCTCTAGTGCGCCGTCCCCTGCACCAACTAGCTCTCCACCACCTCCTCCTCCCGGACCACCTCCCACGCCTTCATCGGTGGTTAGTACGCCACCCAAGCCGCACGCCCCTTCTCCGTCTTCCACACCCACGGGCAGCAATGCGACCCCAACGCCACACTCAAAGCTGTTGAACCACTTACCACTGGATGCTCCTGATGAGCTGGACCGCAAGTGGTTTGCACACTTCTACCACATGCAAAAGACCATTCAAGGCAAGGACGAGGCCGCTGCACTCGCCATATTGAAACAGCAGCCAGCCGAGGGGGTGACACCGCTGCCCTTCCAGCCGGATATTGCCCTGCTGTATGCGGTCGTGACTGAGCCGACGCTTGCCAAACAACATCTTCGCTACCTGACGGCGGTAGCTACTGCTGATAATTATAAGAATTGCATGGGATGGCTACAGAAACTCATCGACCTCAAGTTCGTCAAGCTGCTAGTGGCTTGTCGCAGCCAATTGCTGTGGCTCGTGAGAGAATTGGTCCATTTGAACGCACCAGGAGTGGACAAGGTCATTGTCTGCTTGATGAGATACTTGACTGGCGGCGATCCGAGCCGCACCACCGTCTGGCTGGCGTCGTCGATTATCCGAATCCTCATCGAGCACGAAGCGTGGTTGCTGTCATGTTCCAGTTTGATCCCGTTCGTCTTCCACACATTTGCAAGGATTTCACTCGACCACACTGCATCGCAAAACGCGAGTCTATTGAAGCAGGAGGTGGAGCTATGCACAACGCTGTGGAGCCGTCGCCAGGCGGATGTAGCGCAGCTTGGACGAGAAATCGTGCGTGTTCTCAGTGATGCCAAGGATGTAAGTGCTTCCGTGCGTACTTCTGCCTTCCTACGCTTATAATCTCACGTGTGTTGTGAATGCAGATCCCGGGAATGAACGCGCTCTGGAAACAACTGCGAAACGTTCGCGACACTGCTGAGCCCGAGAAGGATGTCACTGTGTACTCGGTGGCTCAATTGATGGCGATTCCGACCCCTCCCAAATATCTCGCTTACCGATTGAACCCGAAAATGGAGGAATATCTGCTCTTTATGATGGTACGTTCAACTAACCATGTAGTGTCAGTACTAGTTTGCGGGATGTTAACATCGGACTTATTGATATAGGAACGTGTTCAAGCTGGATCTGTGACGCGCTACCAAAAGTGGTTTTCCTCTCAGTTTTTGAGCAGCCCCGGATCGGACGCTCTTGTACCCGACCTCGTGCGCTACATTTGCGCGGTTTATCACCCTTCCAACCAGGTTTTGAGCTCCAAGGTCACCCCTCGTTACCACATTCTAGGGTGGCTGTACTTGCTCTGGTATGGTGATTTTATTATATCCTTTCTGATGGATAGCTTTATACTAATGATTGCTATCATGTTCAGCCACGGCAGTAAGACGCCAAGTGTATTGGCCCGAGTTCAGCTTGCAATGTTCTTCGACTACCTCTACTTCAAACCATCGGACAACATAATGACTGTCGAGCCAGCGATTTTACTAATGGTAAGAGCTGGTGGTAACCCCCTTGAGCTTAAGATTTTATTGCTAACTGTGTCGCTGCGTAATGACTTGTCAGGTGAAATCACTGAAAAGTCATCCGATGGTAACGCTCGCCATGATTCAATTCCTCGTATTTGCTGTGGAGAAGTTTGCCGCATCAGCTGTAAATCGGAAGCTGATGCAGAAGGGTGTTTCCACTGCTTTCGCGATGATTCTGAAGCTTGGCGTTGTGTCATATATTCATCCACTCCAGTCGTTTCCTATGCTGCTGTCAAGTGCCCCAGAACTGCAGTCGGATCTTCACCGTATTTTTCCAGAGCATTTCCCGTCTCCAGAGAATGCCAACAACGTGCAAGCGCACCCGAGTCCACTCTCAAGTGCTGGGGGAAGTCCCGCCAGATCTCCTGTAGCGACCAATTCGCCTCTTCGACAATCTCCTGTACGGCAGTCACCAGTTCGACAATCACCCGTCCATCAGTCACCACTGCGAGGCAGTCCTATTGGCGCTGGTAGCCCAATTACGTCACCATTACGATCACAGAGCCCCACGCATTCGGACGCTAGTATGGGCGGTGGTGGTCCTTCATCTGACACGAGCTCGCTGGGTGCGCTGTCATTCTTGCCCGACAACCAGCAAAGTGGAGATACCACGACGGAAATGGCTACTCCTAGTGACGCAACAGCGCTGCCAACTGTGACCTCCCCAAAGCAGCCTACACTTGAGATCCCTGACAGCATTTTAGCGCTTGGACGTGGTGATATCAAACACTTCCAGCAGATATTGCCGGAGCCCTGTACACGCCCCACCGAGAGCTTCCTGGAGTGCTTGAACGACATTTTAATTTCGTGGATACGTCAGAGTAACGCTGTCGAAATTGCTGCCCCTTTGGGGTCATTCCTGTATGCCTCGCTGGAACGGATCATTGTGTCATCACGAATTGCGCTGAATGACTCCCCAAAAGCCACATGTGCGGGTGTATTGGATTCGATGCTAGACCAGGTGCTCAGTGAGTCTTGGGAACTCTTTGTTCCGTTTCTGAAGGCTATGTATGCGCGAGATGTCACGATATCCTATCGGATACTGGCATTCTGTTGTTCCCGGAGCGGATCGAAACCCCCAGACGTTGCTTTGGGACCTTACGCGGCATTTGTTGAAGCCATTGGTGGCAACTTGGCTCAAAATATCCTGAAGGACTTGAACCTGAGTCAGCAAATCGACGATGCCCGGGTACAAGCATGTGCGTTATTAAACAAGCAGTTGCCTCCTGCTGCTCCCAAGGACGAGATGGATGCCGTTAGTGCTACTGCACTCGTCGTGTGTCCGTATTTGTTCGCGAACATGAAGCATCCGTCCCTGTCCAAGCTCATGGGTCGAAGCGAAGCGCTCGTGCAGCTGCTGCTTGGACTTGTGACGCCAGCAATGCTGAATGCGCTGTGCACTCGTGTCGTTATGCGTGAGTTTGCAGTTTTCAAGAGCCGCCTGGCCAATATCGTGCTCTCTTCGCTGCAATGGACGTCGTGGGAGCAGTACGGCATGTGGGATCTTGTGGTAGCGGAGCTTCAGTCTGGACGTTCAGCCACAGCCGAAAAGACCATGATGGCTGCAGCGCGCAAGGTGTTGGCCTGTGTGAACCCGAAGGAGAGTCCGGAGACGATGACGGGTCTGCTCAAGTGTCTGATCCACTTCAGCCCTGATGAAAGTGTTCTGCAGAGTGTGTTCAAGCTACCTGACTCTTACGACGACTTCCCCTTCGCAGTGCTGGCCTGTTGGATGGACAAGTTCCCGGACGTGGTGACAGGCCATGTCCGTAGCTCGCTGGAAAATGTCGACGATCTCTCCAAAGACAAGACAATTGCAGAACTTGTTCGGAAACTGAACCACCTCCAAGACCTGCACAACCGAAGCGTCTCCTCCTCCGATGGACAGATCGCTGTGCTCAAGGACGAATATGTCCTCACCGCATTGAAGAAACTACTGCACCGACCAGCCGATGCATCCGAAGCCACGGACTACCAGACACTACGAGAAATTTTATTTGATGAGGAGCCTCCGCACAAGAAACCTCGTCTAGCAGAAGAGAATTAGTGCTAGAGGAAGGTCAGTAAAGCTTTGCAACATCTTGTCCATCGCCACATGGCTACACGTCAGTCTCGTATTCCTCGCTTTACTGCCGGGTTACCTCGTTTTTACTGCCCTATTTTGATATTAACTCTCCCACAAATCGACACATACCTCGAAGAAGGTCGGTGTATTCGCCATGGGGATCGCAATGTCCAAAGTGTTCGCGGCGCTGTTCGGCAGCAAGGAGGTGCGCATCCTCATCCTGGGCCTCGATAACGCCGGAAAGACCACAATACTTTGTACGTACAGCGATGGACGAGTGAAGATGACAATGGATTATTCCGGGCTAATTGATGCTGTTCTTCACACCCATAGACCGCCTACAGGCTGACGAGATCGAACAGACAGTGCCTACAATTGGATTTAACATGGAAACTCTGCAATACAAGAACATCAAGTTCCAGGTGTGGGATCTAGGCGGCCAAACAAGCATCCGACCCTATTGGCGGTGCTACTACCCAAACACGGACGCCATCATCTACGTCGTGGACTCGGCTGACGTAGACCGCCTCAATATCGCCAAACAAGAGCTGCACGCTATGCTTGAGGTGAGAATAAAGCTTCTGGATAAAATGCTCTTGAGTTTGTCGTTCTGATTATATTGTCGTCTTGCAGGAGGAAGAGCTGAAGGACTCGATTCTGCTCGTATTTGCCAATAAACAGGACCAGAAGGGCGCGTTGAATGCTGCACAGGTACGTTTCAAACCAAATATTGAGAGTAAAAAGAAGAGAACTGCATCTGACAAAACGATTTTCTAATTGCTACAGATTTCCGAAGCAATGGGGCTGTCAGATATCCGCAATCGTCAATGGTCTATTAAAGAAACCACAGCAACACAAGGATCCGGACTCTTTGAAGGATTTGACTGGTGGGGTTTATACCGCATTGGCCGTGCGGATCTCCGTTGCTGACGTTTTTGTTGTACTTGCTGCGATTAGGATCGTGACGTGCATAAAGGGCGAGTAGGTGTGTGTCGTATTCCCAGGCATGTGTCGTCCTCAGACAGACCAAGAAAGCTTGACACGGAGAACCTTACAGGTCGCTGTTGATAGTGCTGTCTGTCCGCCCAATACATCCAGGGATGGAGGAGATCGCACGACCGGTCGTTTAGCAATAGAAGGAGAACCGAGGAACAGATAAACAAGTATGTAAGGAGGGGGAAGTAGATAAAGCAGGAAGAATGGAGGCATTGGCTCGGAGGCTTGTGCTTGAAGTAGAATTTTTGCATGACAGTACACTTACACTGACTTAGCGCTCAGGCGTCGCTTGAAAAAGCAGGTTCACAACTGTTTGTTCATTTCTCGAAATGGCGGTCGGGATGAGCAGCGGCACGAGCGATGCTGTTTGGTACGGCCCACCCGAGAGCTGGCCGACTGAACACTGTCGTGTCTTATACATCATCAGCAGATATGCACAGCAAGCTCGAAACGTGCAATCGAAAGAAACGTGGATCCGTCAGGTGGCTCTACTTGTGCTGCTATACGAAGGGATCGATGCCGGCGTCCTACCGTTCGACTACTCTCCGAGCCTCATCTGGCTCACGTTCAAGCGACACACAGACAGACGTTGGCTTCGAATCTCTCAAGAAGCCAAGTCGGTCATCGATGACTTGTGGGAGGCCAAACTTGTAAACGGTATCAAGCTTTCGTCTGTGGATTATCAACCGGTCACAGCGTACCAGGCTTCTTTTCGAGGATTGTCGATCGTGGAGCAGATGCCAGAGCAGTTGAAACAGGACACCGATACGTTCCTCTACTCTCCGGTGGCTACTTCTCGGGTAAGTCAAGCAGACTCTGCCCCTCCAGCAACCCCACGCCCTCCTCAGTTACTTCTTGTGCGCTACGACGGCTCCGAGTTTCATCTAGTGACCAATGATCAGTCGTACTCGAGAGTGAGCAGTATAACGGAGTGCGAGGATGTGTCGTACGTGTCGTCGCCCTACATCCCATCTTGTCTTCGCTCCAGTACGAGTTATCTCGTGGAGCCGACGAGCAATAAACTACGTGCAACTGAGTCTGCACGTGGGTACAACATGATGACCAAGGAGGCAAAGCAGAGTATCGTGCTCTCCCAGGTACACGCGCTAGTCGGGGAGTGGCTACCGTTCGGTGCTAACCAGATATCGGCATTGAATGAACGCTTGGGTGCTATGGAACGCTGTCAAGGAGGGCTTTTTAGTTCCAAACTCGACTTGCAGCCGACAGAAACGCACTTCGAAGTGACCCCAGGCCTCACACAAGTCAAGATTTTGGACTTCGACGCCATCCGATTCATCAATTTCGAGGCGGAAATCAACTTTCCAGAGAGCGACGGGATCATCCAGGTAGAAAACTTCGGGATGCACTTACACGTGAGTGGAGCTGTCCTGTACGGAGTCAAAATCGACGCTATTATGAACCACACAGAGCGTGCAATCCCTTTCGATCTACTGGCGCGGTTACTGGTGGATGTTCATCAAGATTCGTCGGGTATTATCCATGACTTGCTTTCTCGCTATCAGCTCAGCGTTCTTGACATGCTGTTCATGGGTAAAGCCGACCAACGCAACAAATACAACCTCATCACGGCTGCATCAATGGACCCCAAACTACCAGCCTGTAAGTATCTGGATAAAGGAGAGCGTGAGAACGAACTCAAGCAAGTGTTGGGCGAGATCTACGCTTGCTACGACATCACTCGAGACGACGTGCTCTTCCTGGGGCGTGATGGATGTCTGCTCAGTGGGCCTGGAGCGGAGCGATACGAGGCGCTTCTCACGACGTTCATGGGTCTCAACAGTCGAGAGATTTTCATCCGAAACTTCTTCGTGCGTACGTTTGTGCTGAGCGATATGCTTGTAGAATTACGTACATCTATCCGCAACTACCGCAAGCATGGCGAACACTCTCTGAAGGCGGTGAAGAAGTCCTTAAGCGACGCAGCACGGCACATGATTTTACTCATTGAATGTCTGCAGTATCTCCTAGAGTCCGTAGAAGCTCTCGAATTGCCGCCTGTACCAGTCGACATCGCCGGTTCCAAGATTTACAAGTGTCTGCAGCTCTTGGAACGTAAGAATAGCGTCATCGTGCGATGCAAGGATTCCATCAAACTCATTGAGCGTCTCCGTACACAACTCGACACGCTGATCACTAAATTTGAAGGTATCTCCCGACTACAGTTGACGTACGTATCACAAGGGTTTGACATCAACATTCGACGACTCACCGAGTCTCTGCGAGTCCGTGACGAGCTTGAACGCAACTTGGACGTCATCCGCATGATCTTCGCTGGTAATTTGTCTTTCGATGTAATTGATCGAATCAGTGGAGGTACGTTTAACGTCCCCAACCCAAAGTGGTTTATCGACTGGATTAAGAAGCCGATCATCGATGCTCCAGTCGCATTCTTGGTCATTAACCTGCTTTGGTTTGCTATTATCTGGATGGCGCTGCAAGCTTGGCTAGACCATCGAGTCTTCCGTAACGGCGCGACGCTTGTGATCCGAGCTCATACCGACAAACGGATCAACCTCACCCAGTTACGTCGAATGCTAAAGAAGAGGAACGTTCGTCTCGGTGTACTCGAGTACGAATCCGGTGGTCGACCTGAACTGCAGAGCTACAAGTGGGAAGAGCACGGCTTTCCGTTTAAGGACTCGTCAACGCACGTGCAGATCGTAGTGGACGAGAACCAGAAGCTGCTGCGTTCCATTCGTCTACAGATCGCACGTCCGCTGGACGAGTCGGTGCCTATCCACTCACGTCGTCTTAGTATGCGGAACGCGCAGAACCCAAATACGACACGACGACCTTCACGTCGCCTGCATCCAGCCCCGTCCTCGGTCACAGTGGTGGAAAACAATATCCTTGAGCAGTTCTCGGGGATTCTGCGGGCGGAAGGCGTTTACCAGGAGCGCTACGCTCCACTCGCAAGGCTTGGCAGTCAGATTAACCTACTGGCTCTAGCGCAAGACTTTGCTGAGCCCGACTACAATCGAGATGTCAGTCGTCTTCGTCGTCGACGCGGGGCTGTGGACACTGCGATCGTCTCCAACGACGAATCGTATCGCCCACCACCATGATGTAGCCATTTATTTTCGGTGATCGAGGTCGAAGACGAGAGATTTTGATTGGCCCGAATAAAACATGTTTCAAACAATTTCCCGTTTTTCAATAGGACGCCAATACTTCTAGCGACGCTTCATTTCAGCGTATTCGCCATGTGCCCAAGCGACGTTCTCAGCGGCTCTACGCCACCCTCGCCGTCTCCCGACGGTGGTTGGTGTCCGGAATTCTACCCCACGCGTGCCGAGTTCCAGTCATTCGCCACGTACGTCCGCACCGTGGTCGAACCGCAGTGTGCCAGTATCGGCATTTGCAAGGTAAAAGCATGAATAAAACTGACGAAATGGTGTAGAAAGACGAAATTTGTGCTCAGTTGCCGTTATTTTGTTCGGATTTTCTGATAATGAACCTCGTTGTAGATCATTCCTCCCCGTGGCTGGTTCAGTCGCTCGTATGACATCTCGCAATTGGATTGCCAAGTCAAAGCCCCTGTGTGTCAGCACGTAGCTGGTAAGAAGGGCATCTTCAATGTGGACCTTGTGGAGAGGAAAACTATGAGCCCTGCAGAGTTTCAGGTCATGACTGACGCTGCTACAGACAAGGAACCGGGAGGTAAAACATAGCTGTGGGCAGGAAGCTTAGAATATGTAAACTGATGCGTCACCACTGCTTGTGCTGCAGATACCGAAGATCCGTTGGAAGTGGAGCGGCAGTTTTGGAAGGGATTGAGAGGAACGATGGACCCGCCCACCTATGGAGCAGATATCGTGGTGAGCATCAATTTTTCTAAAGGCAATTAGGGCAAAACTGTCACTGTTCTGACATGCGAATATTTGTTCTAATGACTGGAACGTAACCAGTCCACGCTGTTTGGCGACGCAGACGCGCTGTCGTGGAATCTGAACGATCTCAACACGATTCTTCGCAAAATTGACCTGCCAGGAGTAACACAATCCATGTTGTATTTCGGCATGTGGAGGGCAATGTTTGCATTTCACACAGTATGTTTTTACCGGCTGCGTCTGCTTTGGTTTTAAAACAAACTGATGTTTTTTTGTGTCGCCAATGCAGGAAGACATGGATCTATACAGTATCAACTACGTGCACACAGGGAAACCCAAGTTCTGGTATGGCGTTCCTCCTGATGCTGGTACGAACGAAAAAAACATGTTGTGCCTAAGTTGTTGGGCTATCAATTACTTGTATAAGTCCTAACGACTTGGTGGACGGATAGCCTCTCAGCTGGAAAGAGCGGCGCAGTCGATGTTTCCTGAAAAACACCACGAATGTCACCAGGTACGGGCTGCTATTTCGCTGCATTTTTATCGGTTTTTTATAAGACCTTTGTGTTCGATTCAATGGAGTAGTTCCTTCGGCATAAAACATCCCTGATTTCTCCTGCGCGGCTGAAGGAGTTTGGAGTCCCGTTCTATCGAGCATTTCAAAAGCCAGGAGAGTTTGTAATCACGTTCCCGGCAACCTACCACCAGGGGTTCAATCTCGGTACAATCATTTCCTTTTCAGCCTTGCTTCGTAATCGACGAGTGATCTCTTAACATGTCTGTGCATGCTTAGGTTTTAACATTGCCGAAGCTGTCAACTTTGCAACCTTGCATTGGATTCCGTATGGGTTGAAAGCCAAGGTATGAAGCTCGAGCTGTAGGTAGTAGCCATAGCTAACACATGTAAATCTGCTTACTGCTCAGGTCTGCAAGTGCCTTCCCGACAGCGTGCGGATTGACATGGACTCGTTCCTAACAAAGCTGTTCGAAGAACCTCAGTGCGGCCCGGAACTCGTCGGCGAAGATCCTTGGATCTTCAGCTGCTCCTGCGGCAAGTACTGCAGTAGCAATTGCCAGAATTTCAATGTGGAGGTAATTACCTGCCCTACGAGTTACCGCTGTTGATGGAGTACTGACGTTGGTGTATTTGCTAGGAGCAATGGTTCGAGTGCTCAAAGTGCAAAATTTGGGCCCATGTTCGCTGTGTTCACTCTGATCTGGCTGACACGGCAGCGGAAGACCTGCCTCAATCATTACTCTGTCATCGCTGTCTTGCTGAAGCTACCGGGGACAAGCCTCGCTCTTTGTCCAGTGGTGGGGTGGGGCGGCGAAGTGGCACTGCGTCGAAGAGTGCAGTACGCGGCACTTTGGGTAAACGAATGAAGCAAGCTGTGGTTAGCTCGAGGAAGAAAACAGCGAAGGTGCCGGCCGTCCCGATGTCACCTCCGACAAAGAGAAAAAGTGCTTCAAAGTCCAACGAGGCAGGTGCCATTACACCCAAAAGGACAACGAAAGATAGTGCTGCTGTCCGCAAGTATCTCACAGTCAAGGGCTCGACCATCCGATTCGAGAATATGGAGGTTCGTCTTGGGGATCAGTTGCTCGTGTTGCAGTGCATTAAACTGACAGCAATGGGTGTGTATGTATAGGCCAAGGTGGCTGCCGTGGAGGGCAAGTATATTCGAGTGCACTACAAGGTAGGAACTCTGTTAGTTGTACTTCAAGATGTGATACACTTGCTCACTTGGGTGTCCTGTTGCCATTCTGGTAGGGCGAGTCTACAGACAACGATGAATGGCTGTCAATAACATCGAAGGAGTTACGCCAGCGGATCGTAACAGTGGAGCCACCAGCACCGAAGTCGAAGGACTAATCTTCTATTTAGCTTACAGTGAGGTAGATACATGTACATGGCATGCAGGGAGTGATCAATAATAAACCATGAATTTTAAAGCTGAAGCAGTTGCAAAGCAATCTTTCCAATAATACTTCCATCTTTCAGGTACATTTGACCTGGTTTAAATATGCAAGTATCACTTCCACACTTCCATCGGAAATGGCACGTCCTAGCAAGGATGTGTCTGTGGGCGAGTACGACAAGGTGACAGGGCTCACACACATCACGAACCAACGTGGCCGTCTGTTATTCAACATGGGAGCCAGCGTCAAGAAGCGACAGCGTCGAGTTCCTGCAGCCGATGCTTCTCCTACTCCGTTAACAACAACCGGCACGTTCACGGGACTGTCACTCTACCCGGAAGAAGCCAACTATCTAGTACAGCGAGGGGCATTGATTGTCTACCATATGACTCATGGCAGCGAAGAAGCCAATGAGTTGAGTGTTGCTGGGTTTCACGGATTCACAGCAATCTTGCTCAACGATACGCGTGTGTCACTCGCCTGTGTGGAGGTGTACGCCTTCCTAAAAGATCAGAAGCTGCATCCGCGTCGCTGCCTCGAGCCATTAACAGCAGCGACTTCTAGTGACGATGGACGAAGCATACCCCGACACTTGAACGATGGAGAGCATTGCGACGTCGCATTCGATGTCTGGAAAACCGTGACAGTCGGGAACGATGCAGTGGAATTGGCCTTGCCAACACCGAAAAAGCAAAAATCGAGAAAGAAATTGGCGCTTGTGTTTCGAGCGGCAGTGTGTCGCTTTGGAGACGTCCCGCCCAGCCCACGAAGTCTGCGCCGTGTCATTGAAAGAAGCAAATCTCGCGAATTGGACGGCGACGGTTCAAATTCTGCCTGCCAAGTTCCTGTGAAATTAGCGGTAGTCCACCATTACCAGAGCGTGTTGATATTTGAGCTCGGCGCACTACCAGTCACTTCAACTTAAACATCAACAAAAAATAAGCGGAAGGCGTTTGAAATAAAAAAAATGTTTTGATGTTTGAATAATAATAATAATAGGGCGCTTCTCAAGGAGAGCGCCACGCTACAAACTACTGCAGCAAAGCGCCTGACGCAACAGGAAGCTTGGTACGGGGATCTCAAAAAAGGACTAGAAACTACGGACGGACGGACAAATGGGACGGCGCTCTACGAGGAAGCTGCAGCACTTGTGACCACCACGACGTCGCCCTTCCCATTTCATGCCTTCTCGTTCGGGGCGAAGTAGCTTGACAGGAACTTTTCAGGGTCCAGCACAAAATCGTCGTCGGCGTCGTCCAGACACAGGTCGACAGCAAAATTCTCACCACCCAGCGAAGCACTGTCAAGCTCCGAAAAAGGTGCCACACTGGCGGTCTCCCCAGCTTCAGCCTTGACGTCATCAGGCTTTTCCTGTTCCGAGTTCGAGAACCACTCAAGTTCCTCCTCAGTAAGCTGCAACAGGTCGTCGTTGTCAATAGAAGCGAGGGTCTGGTCAACGCAGTGCAGCGAGTAGTCGGCCAGTGCTTTGTCCTCCGCGAAGTCAAGGATCATGGATTCAGCTGCAGCATCGGCGAAGTCCAGCGGAAGCTGGTGGGGCGGCTGCATGGCAGCGTGGCTCTTCATGTTGCGTGCGAACATGAATCGGGTGTCAATGGGGCTGGCGAAGAACACCTTGTTGCTCGAAAGAGACGGCATCTTCTGCTTCGGGGACATGTGGACTGCAAGAGGCTGCTCGCGAGCAAGACGTTTGGGTACACTGGGGAGCACAGACGCGTCGCTGTCGGTATCTGTGTCCATGTCAAGCATGGAGCACTTGCGCTTACGCATGAGGTGCATTTTCTTCTTCTGTGAAGCGGGGCTAGTAGGGATGGAGGAGGGCGCAGCACCAGCAGCGATTGCTGCTCGGTCTTGAGCTTCACGCTCCTTAAGACGTGCCTCCTCCTTCTCCAGCTTCTGGTAGTATTTCTGCGCATGCGTTCGGATCTGCACAACTGTGCGGGTCTTGATGAGCGTCGCGATCTTCTTCCAGGCGCGGTAGGGGAAGGTCTCGAGACCCTGCAAGAAGAGCTTGTGCTCAGCTTCAGTCCACCGACCTGTATTGCCCTTGAGGGACTTGCCCGAAGCAGAGGACCCGGTACGCCCGCCGTCCTCGGACTCGTCCTCATCATCGTCGGAAACGTCGTCGCTCGATCCAGAGGACGGGATGCACACGCGGTGGCTGGTGAACGCAGGGCTGGATTGCGCCTTGGCGGCGGGTCCTGAGGTTGCGGCAGCCAGCTTGGCAGCGGGGTCACGCGGGGACACAGTGGCAGCGAAGAGAGGCGTGTCGTAGCCCAGCGGGGTCATGGGCGCGTCGCCACTGCAGGAGAGAAAGGCGTCGTTAACGTGCTGTAGCGACAGGAGCTTGGGGTGGGATCGTGCACTCTTGAGCACAGCAGCGGAGGCCATAGTGAACGATGCGTTGAAGGAACAAAGGGGGAAGGGGGCTTCGGTTGTTCTAGAAGGATGACGGTGCACGCTCGCGAGAGTGATGGTATAGCGCACACACAAAAGATACACGGGAGACGACAAGACGGCAACGATCGCCAAGTGAACAGCAAGTAGAACGCTGGGCGCTTGGGAACGCGGCAAACACAGAGGAAAGTAGTGTGGGGAGCGCACGTGCACAGCTGCAAGCGAAAGCTCAAATGAGCAGGCGTTGCAATCTTTCCTTTTTTTAAGCCGACTCATGGCGGCGCCCCCCTTGGGTCTAGCGGTCACCCCCGGCGGGTACGCCAGGGGGCCAATGGCGGCGCTAGTTGAAGCTTTTAGCCAATCGCCGCTCCCCATGCGACGGAGAGCGTTCTTCCATGGTTCCATGGTTCGCTGCTGGGTCGACCCGTTGTCGCTGAAGCAACTTATAAATTGCTAGTCATTTGATGGAAGACAAGACCCGGCCCGCCAGCCAAAGACAAGCACACATACAAAGCCTAAGTTCGCCACAGTTACAGCGCGGCTCAAACTCAGCGGGACAACGTTACCGGATAGGCTTGTCAGCCGCCGCGATGTTCGAATGAACTGCGATGCAGGGCGGAGGAGTGCGCGATGCAGCGGACACCGGCAACCGTTGACGTGCAAGAGCGAATCTCCTCCGCCACCCGGACCCAAGCCATGCAATGCTATGCATTTTAACATGTATAGGGATAGCCGAGCGCTAACCATCTGCTGGCGTCCATGGCCATCGTGGCGTGTGGGTGCCGTGGGCATTCGCCGCCGGATACTGTACAGCGGCGCCGCAAATTTGACCCGCACATAGACAGGTCAGGGGTTCGTGGAAAGTTCTGCTACAGTCGAAAAACTTCGGCCCCGTAAATCAGCCGTGGAGAGCAACGATTGGCTGAAATGACTGCCCACTTCAACTTCGTGCTGGCGCATATTTGGTACATGTATCAATACATGTCCCTCATCGCACATTATTGCTCCTCAATGGCCATCGCCCCGGTTTCACTGAGCTACCTAAAAGCTGGTACTGAAGCTCCCCGGTCCGCCTTCTTGTTGCGCCGTGAAGGGGCGCGATGAATGCTTGCAAAGGGACGCAGTCCAATTTTGGCACGAACCCAACTCCATCAACGTCGGATGCAGGTTGATGAGCCTCAATTGCTCCAGCAGCGGGCTCACTTGCAAAACTGAGTTGCGAGCTTCTGTAGCCCTGCACGGCGGAAGTCTATGTAGGTGGATGTAACACTGTACAGTGTACAGTGTACAGTACAGTACATGTAATTTACCTACCGTGGCAGGCGACGCTAGCGCGGCGAAGCGGTGCCCGCTTTGCAGGCGCAGCTGAGACTAGTCTCTTGCAGGGAGGACCATTCAGACATGATCACCATGCTCGCTGCGTCACAGGCTGTGACTCACAGCGCCAATCTCGCCAGCAAGGCTCGCTGGCGACGGCAGCTGAGGTCGGAAGAAGAGGCTCCTTCAAAGTCTCATTTTGAGACCGCGTATTGTGCGGCGCGCAAGTCGAACGGCTAGGCTCGTCCAGCATTGCGCGCGAAGAGGCACGTTTGCGGGCAAAAGATACTTTTCGGTTACGATTGGCCGGTTCGAAAGAAAATGCAGCGAACGAAACGGCAGTGCTTGAAGTTGGTGGATGGTGCGTGTCTGTCGCTATGAATGAGTGGCATACAAAGCTCGACCGACTTCATGCTGTCAACGCTTCATGCACAGAAGCTCCGTTGCCTGCGTCCATACTGCTGTGTTATTTCAGTCATGGTCGTAGCTAACGCCTTAATGCTCGGGCTGGATGTGGGCGATGTCCCAGGGGCCAAGAATCTCACTGCAACAAGGGACACAAAAAGAACGAGTGATCGTGCGTCAGTCGCGGGATGCACATCACCACGGCAGAAAAAATGAAATCGATGGAAAGCTTCACGCACTTTTTGGACTCCTGCACGTGCATGAACCAGAGCGGGCACACGAAGGCCAGGAAGAGCACGAAGGCGCCCGCTAGAACACTCAGCAGGCCCGACAGCTGCCAGGTCAGTGCCGACGAGAGCGCGAACAGCGCGACCGCCGTTGTGAGGTGCAGCCGCTCCGAGTGGCGCTACACCGAAACAAAACACGAAAACGAACGGGCAGCATTAGAAAACTGAATTTGCTAGCGCAGTCACCATTATCCATGGACACGCACCTTGACTTCGCGCTGGAAAATGGGAAACATGGCGAAGATCTCGATTGCCAGTAGCACGAAGGCGAACACGTGCTCATTGGACTGCAGCCTTGATCCTAGCAGTACCGCGGTGAAGATGGCGGCGTTTAGTGAGATGGTGCCGCTGAAGCTGAAACACGCATCAATATATAAACACGGAGACTTGTAAGTGGGGCCGCTGGTCGCTAGATCGAGGTGGCATCCCTACCGTCCGATTCCTGAGTTGACGTAATTGTAATCGTGGGTGATGAGGTGCAAGAGGCCCAAGAATATCGCCAACGCCCAAATCGTGTCGTCCGCGTAAGACTTCGTGAGGGTCCGTAGCACGGGCGACAGCAACGACAACGTGGCGCAGAACAGAAGACAAGAGCTTAGCGTATTCATTGTGTCTACCGAAGAAACAATTTAGCTGCGGTCAGTTAAGCATTGGCACATAACTTGACCGGCAAGAATACTCACGCAAAGGTAGACCAAGGTGAATTCGGAGCACTGCAAAGCCCGTCACCGCGAGGAATACGTCGATGACGCCCAACAGCACAGCGGAGACTGCATCTTGACGGACGAACTCAAACACTGACTGCCAATATCAACAACGCCAAACAGTCCAGTCTTTCGTGAGGCGCTATTCAGTTGCTGCACCCTTCGTTTGTATTTGAAACGCACAAAAAAGATCAAGACGGCGCAAATTTGCTGCGTGATGGCCGCGGACGAGCGAACCATACCCCCGTAGTCGTGATCTTGCACGTTAGCTGTAGTCACAGATTATAATAGAGGATGAGTAGTTGCTTAATAGCACCACATTAAAGACAGCAATGAAAACATACTGTTCGTCCGCATCTGCTCCAGGAATGTTTCATCGACGTAATTGTCCTCGTATGGCTGCGGCGCGTAGAGGATTTTCTTCCATTTGGGCTGCTCAATGAGTGTAATAAGACGTTTAAGCTTTGGTAGCTTGTGTGCTTGGATGCAGAGATAGAGCACAGCCTCACCTTCGCCGCCGACACTGCCATTATTCGAGGGAATTGTGGGGTGACGTTTATTGGTCGAAAATCTGATATTACATCCAAGTATGATGTCACTGAGTTAACGCTTCCATTTTGACGACGGCATTCATCAGTCAGTTTTAAGCTAAACGGCCAGCTGACCGCTTGCGCTACACACTCCCACGATCCAACGCCATGTCTTCACAATTGCTACAAGCAGTAGCTCTTCTTGCTGGGGGTTTCAGCGGTTGCAACAAGCGGCTTGTTGGGTGGCAAGAGCTGGTTGGCAATCCAGGTCATTATGAGTTGGCAATGCCATGTTGAAGTGAGCGATGTTTTAAGCATTTTTTATTGGTGCCGAAATAGCGTTTTAACGAGATCCATAATCGCTGCAGATTGGTTAAAATATTTAAATAAATGATTGGATGGGCGGGGACCGGCCCCCTAATTAGTCACCCTAAAGTAGCGGGCTACTAAACAGACGGCCATTCCATTTCCGTCATAAATTCAGACCTATGGATCACTTGACCCAATAGGCAGCCCTACTTGTCAGGTAGGGCGTTAGTTTCCTTACTCATTGAGTTTAAGCCAAATTCTTGTTGACCCGTCCGACCTTCTCCTATATCTGTTGCAAAATCCTCGCGTACAACATCCATAGCAATTACTAATATGATAGGGTAAATTTGCCAAAGGCAAGTTGAAGTGGATGCTATGTAAGTACATGTACTCAGTAACTCATCTTCTGCGGAGCCGAGCACCAGGGGCAGTTGCCGAACTGCTTAACCCACTTGTTCCACGTCTCACGGTCAGCAATAACCTTGCAGGTGGCGCAATGCACAGTCGTCTTGGCAGCAACAGGAAAGCCCGTGACAATACACGACTCGGACGCCGTCTTACACTCTGGACACTGCAGAGCCGCCTCATAGATGCTGGCCTTGCAATGCAGACACGCGCGTTCGGGTAGCTTCTCGGCCACCTGCTGGTCCATTGAGATCGTCAGCACCCAATCGCGGATCTCCTCACGAGCGCTTTCTTCAGCAAGATAGTGCACTTCCGGTAGAGCAAAGTCGAGGGGCGATGGGATGTCAGTACCAATGAAGTCGGTGTTGTCCAGGTCGCTAGCATCGCCATCATCAATAGCCTCACATAGATCGAGATAGCGGTTGAAGTATACGAAGGCGGCGCTGAGCCATTTCTTCTTCCTCGCGGCCGCACCAGCAAGGTAGAACATCTTGTCAGCGGGTAGAACAGCAACAAAGCGCAGCAGTGACATACTGATCTTGGCTACCAGATCGTCCAGCCCAGCGTTTGCTGCCTGGTGCTTGATGGCGAAGAAGTGCGTCACCAGTAGCCACTGCTCAATCTTCTGTACTCGCGAGCTGGGGAACTCCTTGTTATTCGCACGCAGATCTTTGACAAGTTTGCGCAGGCATTTGACCAGCTCTGGCAACGCCGCTTGGTGTTCAGAATCCTCTTCGATGGTGTAGCCACATGCAAGCGTCTTCTGGACGAGTCTCTCTGTCATATCCAGAGCCTCCGAGTCAAGAGGAATGCCATAGTCAGAGATGGTCTTGATCGCCGTAGACATCTCGCCATGCTCGCACAGTCGCGAGCACCGAAGAACGAGGTACTTCGCCAGCGACCCAGCACTATGCTTGGCTGCTGAAGACAACACTTTGTCCCATTCCCCACGCTGCATCCACGCATCCAGAGCATTAGTACCGCGTCCTGCGTCATCACCTTCAGCACTGAGCGTCGACTCCTTTTTCTCTGCAGAGTAGTGCATCTTGGTATCTGCTGACGGAGTGTACGAGCTTGTAGCCATCTTGGCCTCTGCAGGGTGGTGCGAAGCTGATCCAAAGGCACTAGCCTGTTGTGCTCGCTCGAGACGAGGTAACAGCTCGGGGGCATGCTGCTCGCACAGCTTCTGAGCGGCAGCCCAGTTATTGACGCGCAGATAGCAATCCAGGGCCTCGTTCATCTTGTCAATAGACTGGAAATGCTCAGCAGCGGAGTCGAAGCGAGACATTCCAAGGAGGCGTGACGCCACCTCCTCCACGATCGACTTGTAGCGACTCGGGTCGTGCTTAGCGCACAGCTCGATGGCCTTCGCCCAGAGCTCTTCCAGCTCTCCAAGGTCGCTGATCTGGTCAATAGAAATCGACAAATACGCGTCGATTGCCTGAACATACTGCTGCGAGGCCACCCACATCTCACACGCCTCCATGAGCTCTTCTTTCTTCTTCGGTCCTCCAGAGAAGATAGCGCGTTGATGAGCCATATTCACCTCCATGAGCTTATGAGGAAGATGCCGCTTAGCAATTCGCACTGCGTCAGCCCACATCGCAGCCTCCAGATACGCGGCAAGAGCCAGCTCTGGTTTCCCGGCACTGAGGAAGAAGCCTTCAGCACGTTGATGTTCCTTGCGCTCAATCCAGAGTCTCGCTTGAGCGATGAACACGTCAGCCACAGACGCCGGGTCCGCGCTTTCCGCGACGCGCATGGCGTTTTGCCAGTCCTGTTGGTGCACATACATGTCCAGCGCTTCACGAGGTTTCCCAGCCTTGATGAACTCTTCCTCTGCTTCCTTAAAGCGTTCCTCATCCTCGAAAAACAGCGCATGTTTGAGATGCACCTCCGGTAGCTTTTTGGTGGCACAATTGCGTGCAAGCTCGAAGGCGTGCTCGAACGCTCCACTTTCAATAGCGTAGTCTATTGCCGGCTCGATGAGTCCAAGACGAGTGAGCAGCTTAGCGCCTTGTTCACCTCCGAGATCCATGGCCCAAGCATAAGCCACACGCTTCGAGGCGTTGATCCCGCCGTGGAACTTGGCAACACGAATCGCTTCATCCCACATATCGTTCGTCCGGTACATGTTGACAGCAGCTTGCCACTCTCCAGCTTCAGCAAAGTGGTGTTCTGCTTCCTTGTAGTTGCCTTCATGCTCCAATTGCTGAGCCAAGTACAGATGCGTGTCTTTAAGAAGATCCTTCCGATATTTGGTCACGAGTCGGATCATTTGTTCGTAGTTCTTGTGGTTCTTGTACATGTTGATAGCCAGATCTGGCTCGTTGACAGTCAGGAAGAGCTTCTCAGCTTCTTTGAACTTCCCAGCTCGCTCCATGCGGTGTGCTTGCTCCACGTACAGTCTCTCGGTCTCGTATTTATCCAAGTGGTTGAGTGCGACCTGGTAGGCAGCATCCCATTTGTTGGCTCGAGTGTACATCTCGACGGCATCACGAGCAGCGTCCGCCTTGATGAAGCATCGCTCAGCCTGCTCTAGATTGCCTGCTTCCTGGTAGTGACGAGCAAGGCGACGGTAGTATGGTAGAGACACATCGTCCTCCAGTGTCTCTACAAGTTGACTGGCCTTAGCCCATTGTCGTGAGTTAAGTGCAGCCTCGACTGCCTTGGTTGGCACATTGCCTTCGATGTAGTGATTAATTGCCATGTCCATTTGCTTTTGTGATACGAGATAGTCGCCCCATGCCTCCTCTAGACGCAATACCTTGTCAGGGAAGTGCTTCCGCGAGAGCTCAACAGCTTTACGGAATGCATTCGCCTTGATAAATGCAGCAAGGGCACGACTCTCCTGCTCCATTCGCTCAAACTGGTCGCCTGCTTTCTCGAACATCCCAGCCGAGTATAGTGCATCAGCCACAGTCTCCATCAGCTGCTTATGGTCGCGACCGAGATTTCTCTGGTTCAACAACTGCGCAGCTTTTGCTGGTAGCCCTCCTTTTAGATAGAGACTCACTGCACCGGTATAGTCGCCGTCCTTGACCTTCACAGCAGCGGCCTTTTCTTCTTGACGAGACTCCACAAGGTATTCATAGTAGCTTCTCTTCATCTGTTCGCAACCGGAATGGTTCTTCGTCTCAGCAACGCGGATAGCATCTTCCCATTTGTGCAAGTGCTGGTACATCTCAATAGCTTCATCAACTTGACCCTGTGCCAGCAGCAAATGCTCGGCACTACGGTAGTCGTTCTTAAGCACCGCAAGACGCGCTCGAACTTTCCAGTGAGCAAGTCCGTTAAGACGATCTTTCTCCTGCCAGTCCAGCTTATTGAGCTTTCTCAAATACCTCGAACGCGTGACGTCTCCAAGAGCAGCAGCACAGCGTTCAGCAATGCGATGATCGTTCTGGGTCAACGCTTCTTGGCTCAGTTGACTCCACATAGCCTCAGTCTCAGGTGTAAGCTCGAGAGGCTCAAGAATCGACATGGCATTCACAAGTTGTCCGTCATCTACAGCAGCACCGAATGCTATCAGTGACTCGTCAAGCTGGTAGGAAGCCGTGTTCATTCCTTCGTCCACGATCACTTCGGTACGTCCATTGCCGCGTTCGATCTGCTCGACGTCTCCCTTGATCTGGTAGATTGTGGCTTTGTCCGGCGCACGGATATTGTACCAGACAGACAAGTTGCCTCGATTCTGCGCTACAACCACGTCCGATTCGGGGACCCACTGCACGTAGTTGCAGTAGTTTAGTAAGGTGCTGCGCTTTTGGGTATCGATATCAAACAGGTGCAGTTGACGTCGTTTATCACGGAACAAGAGCAAGTTGCCACGAGAGTTAAGCTCCAACCAGTCCACACGAGAATCGTGGTTGACTGTGGAAGCTCCACGGGCGTGGAGGTCGGTGATACAGATTGTCTGGAGGTCCAGTAGATACGCAACTTTCTTGTTCTCCTGGGGTGTAATGGGGTCGCCATTTTGTGGCATGGGGAGTGGGGGACGCTCGTTGATGCGTACACTCAGCAAGTGCGTGTTAAGGTGTTCTGTTCTCACTGATCCCAAGAGTTCGTTTTGTCCGTATTCAATCAGAGATAGCTCACCAGCTTGGTAGACGATGCAGACGCTTTCGTTGTCCAGCATATATTTCTCTGCGCCAGTGGACTGCCACTGCACCTCGCTAATACGTGCCGTATCCAGATCCCCAACGAGGAGGGTGTTGGTGGTGTTGCCGACCAGGAATCGGTCTTGGAACACGTTCAGCTTCGTGATTTCGCAGCCAAAAGCAGAGCGCACAACGACTCGCGCTCCGGTAGCGAGTCGTTTGACGATCACTTGGCTTAACGACACGTATGTGAACTCAAACTTGCCTTTGTAGCGGTAGCGGCGTACGCAGGCGTCATACAAATCCAGAGCTCCGCAAACAGACCCAACAGCTAGCCGACTACCGTCGTGCTTCCAAGCTAATGCTGTGACAGAGTACAGATTGGGAATGCTTTTGGACCCCACGAGCTCCCAAGACTCGGTTTTTTGCTGGTAGTTAAACGTGTAGAACGAGTCGAAGTTACCCACGACTACCGACTCACCCGTCGGGTTGAACACACTGCACGTGAACTCACCACATTTTTCATCGCTGGAGTAGTCGAAGGTGCGCAGTTGGGCGCCATCCTTGTCGTAGAATGAAACCCGACGATCGTTACCCGCTGCGACGATGCTCTCACCCCACGCGAGAGCGTATGGCACGCAGGAGTGTACTACAAGCTTCGCGTGTGTAGGACCACCTGTCACATCGTCGAAGATGAAGCGATAGATGGCTCCATCATAGTGCGCCGAAAGGATGGCGGTGCCCTCGGGGTTGCTGCATACACGGGACACGTACGACCCGGTAGCGTACAGTGTGGCCGGTTTGTTGCTACGCAACTGACCGACTTTCACCTTGCCGTCTGCCAGGCCGAAGACGATCTCGTTAGGGTGTGTGCTGGGCCACGTGAGTGTCGTCACGGAGCATGGCTGTAGAAACTTGTTGCAAATGCTCTTCTTATCCTGGTGGTATGGGTCAGTAACAACGGTTAGCTAATCTAGCGTCGTAATAGGTGAACAGGCTCTTCGTACCCCAAATTCTAGGCCAATTTTGTAGACAAAGACGATGTTATCGCTCTGTGCCACCGCGAGTTTGGACGAATCCGGCGAGAACTCAAGTGCACGCACGATGTAATTCTTGTCACCTTTGTCTGCTGGTTTGGTGGAAAACTTATCCTTGCGCTCTCCAGTTTGTCCGTCGAACAAATGCACAACGCGGTCTACTGTAACTACTGCAAGCCTGCGGTTGTTCGGCGAAAAGGCAATGGCCGTGACCTTGCACATGCCCTCAGTGGCCTGTAGTAGCGACGTCAAGTGACGCAGCTGCATCTTGCCGTCGTCTCTTCACCTTTAGCTCCTTGCCGTGCGTTGAATTGAAGTTGGCGTCTTTTGATCAATGCGATCTTGAAGAGACACATGCAGTCACTATATCGAGGACAAAAACCTCGATTTAATGACAGGTAGCCATCGTTTTGGCTGGTCAAAGTGCAATGGACTCAATGGAAGCAGAGCTGGAGCAGGCCAAACGCGAGGCTACACTGCAGGCGCGCCGACGCGAGGAGCTTGACACGCTCAAGCAGCAGCGCATAGAGCGTGCCAAGACTTCTACCTCCGCCAGTTTCAGCGGTAAGCAGAAAAAGCAGCAGCTGCGTGCACGCAAACAGCGTTTGGCCTCTCGTCGAGATGAGGCGGCGGCGCTGGATCTACAAAGCGCGCAGTACGAGGAATTTTATGCCGACAAACTTGAAACGGCTGAGGAGGTGGAGGTCGACCTCGAAGTCGAGGCGTTCCGCGCCGAGCCTGACTTCTTCGTGCGCAATAATGACCTGGACAATGACCTCAGCTCTCGACTAAAGCTTACCGTGGCGTTGGGCAAGAACAATAAAGATGCAGTGGGCAAGGAACTCTCTAGCTTCTTCGTTAAGGAGACTAAGGAGCAGATCCAGCTGAGACTTATGGAAGGGCAACGTCCGTTGGACTTGGCCAAGAGAGAGACGCCTCTGCTCGCCACAGTGAGCGAACGGGACCCCATTCTGGACCATCCCAAGAGACCCAAGTGGACATACAGCATGTCCAAGGAGAAAGGTTTGTACAGATGAAGCTGTGCGTGTTTATTGTGTCTTATTCGATGTGTGTGTGTGTGTGCTGGCAGTGGACAACAATGAGAGTCTCATGTTCGACCAGTGGCTTACGAAGATTCACGATAAATACGACAACGAACACTTGAACCACTTTGAGCACAACTTAGAGGTCTGGCGTGAGCTGTGGCGTGTCACAGAGCGTGCCACGCACGTTGTGGTCGTGGCTGATGTGCGCAACCCTTTGCTGCACATTCCAGCGTCTGTGTACGACCTGGTCACGAAGGAGTTGAAGAAACCAATGGTTGTGGTACTCAACAAGGTTGACTTGATCCCAACTGCTGTAGTGCAGCTCTGGAAGCGCTACTTAGCTGGTCGATTCCCTCTCGTAAAGCTTGTGTGCTTTTCCTCCCGCTCGAACGCCGTGCATGGCGATGACGACGTCAGTACTCGTCGAAGAATACTTAGGTAAAGTACTTATATTGAGCGGCTATCGCTATAAATGTATGCATTGGATTAACAGGCTGTCTTGACTAATGTAGCAAGAAATTGGAGGTAGGAGACGTGTCGGCAGTTAAGGGTGCTGTGGATATTCTCGTGGCTTGTGGGATTGGTGCTTTGGAGGCGCAGCAACTGGCAGAGGAGTTAAATGCGAGCTTGACGGAACAAGAGAGCTTACAGGCGCAATTTGATGCAGTGCAAGAGAAAAAGAAGTCAGTGGGAAAGCGTCGTAGTAGGCGCAAGCAGAAGAATCGAAGCGCTCGCAATGGAAACGCTGGTGGCGATGGAACACCCACGATTCACGAGTGTCAGCACTGCGGATGTGACGAAGCTGTCGTCGCTTGTATGTCGTGTGCAACTGGTGGACGACCGAGCAGTGCCGATGCTAAGGTTAAGGACGAAGCAGATGCCATTGCTCGAGGTTATTTGCTGTGCGCTCGATGCGAGCTTGAGGAGCATACAGAGCTTAAGGGCCATTTCCAGGTCCGTCTGCAGTCGGCGCTGGCAGCAGAGTCGACTGACCCATCTGTGCCAGGCAGTGCTGGAGCTATCGGCCAGGCTAACACGCCCAAGGTGACCATCGGACTCATTGGACACCCGAACGTGGGCAAGTCTAGTGTGTTGAACGCATTGGCAGGCAAGAAGATCGTCAGTGTATCGCACACTCCAGGGCATACGAAGCGACTTCAGACGATTATGATCTCGCCAGAGATCTGCATTTGCGATTGTCCTGGACTGGTGTTTCCCTTTGCTGGCGTTCCAAAGTATCTCCAGGAGCTCAGTGGACTGTACCCGTACTCGCAGGTAAGGTAGACTACAGTAGTGATGCCATGATGTTACATAGCTGTGTCCTGACTGGTTAGTTGTGGTGTTTGCTAGATTCGGGAGCCTTACTCCGCAGTCCGCTTCCTCGCAGAGCACGTCATTCTGGAGAAAGTCTTGGATCTAAAGCCACGTACACAACATTTTGATGGCATAGAGGAAGAACTGGTTCGTGAACTTCAGTCCTGATTGCATCCGTCGCTAGTTTCTGACGAACTGTTCTGTGTGATCTTCTCTTGTGTAGGAATGGACACCATGGACATTGTGTGAAGCATACGCAGAGAAGCGCGGCTACCGCACAGACCGTCGTGGCAGACCTGATCATCAGCGTGCTGGATCAGAGTTGGTTCGCGACACAGTCGATGGCATTCTGCCTCTCTTCTTTCTTCCACCTGACTACACTGGCAAGGATATCACTCCGACGAGCATCGCGAAGTATTGCGATCAGGAAGAGGCTTCACTCAAGAGTGATGGGAAGTACGAGAAGGCGTAGAATATATATTTGGTCTCTGACGAGTTTGGTCACGCCATAATTTTGCACTTTGGTCACGAGACCAAACCGGTTGGTCTCGTTAACGCACGTGTTCAAATATGCCCTTGGTCACGTACGACAGCAACAAGAAAACCCAAACGCGACCAAAGGCTTTTTGCTCATTTACACAGCTGTAGTGTTAAAGACATAGCCCGCAACGAGCCTCGCGAAACCACGACTATCATCGCGAAACCAACGAGTTGTTACATTTTGGTACATCTATACTTGAAGAGCTTTAAGAATAATCCAGCAAGGGCCTCGCGAAACCAACGAGCTGTTATTAATGAAGGGGCTCCATAAATCTACACACTTCAAGTGTTTAAGTCATAATCCCCCAAGAGCCTCGCTGAACCAACGAGCAGTTTTTTACGGGGTGCGCATGCTTTCAACTCGGTGTGAGTCTCATTTTCAGAATTGCATCCTATAACCGACACTACACATGAGACGCTCGTCACCATCACCTCGGCATCAAAAGCGATGTCAAAGTCCCCGATACTCACCAACCTCTCGTCCCAATACGCGCTCGACAAGCTCTCAATATCCTCATGAAGAGCTTGTTGTAAGCTTGGACGACCCTCTAGCCTCAACCCAGTTGGCAGCGTCCATACAGCTAATGCCACCATCACCGCTCTTGTCCATTGCTCCTACTTCTCGTACAGAGAGGCTACCCCCACAGCCCGCGCAACTGGGTCAATCGAACGTGGCCACACCGCATCAAACTACAGAGATCATAACAAGCTCCAATGATCGGCCTCCACGTCATGCTCGAGGTGGAGATCTGCATGTGCGCTCAGAGTAGCGGCCCCGAGAAGGAAAATCAAAAATTTACCATCAAGGCTTCGAATACACACGCGCAAAAGTATCAGCAGTCAAAATAACGTATAGATGTAGCTTCTATAGGAAGCCCAAACTATGTCCTGGGCTCCTGTTTTACTATGCTGACACAATGACGTACGACTTTGACAACATGGTACCCCATACATGTCGGAGCAGAAAGGTATCTGGGGCTGCGAGTGACGAATCTGTCTGTATCGACATGGAAGAAGAGATGAAAACATTTGTCGATAATTTAGCCGAACAAGATGTTCCAGCTAACAAGATATGGACTCTGGCTTACGAAAAGTTTTACGAAAACTCGATTGGAGTTGTCCGTGGTCTCTCACGAATTCAAGTGATCGCACGTGTGGGAAAGTCAAAATCGGGAACAAATATTTTTACCTTGTTGGAGAGTCCCGAAAGAGTAAAAGTATTCGGTACCAACATGGGTTTCCTTCAATTTCACTACGTTTGGCACGATGACATTAGAGCAAAGCAAAATAAGTCTGGCATTGAGCGATTGATCGGTTGGGCGCATCCCGAACTTCGAAATCTCCTTCGAATTGACGGTGCCCATTTATTTGTCGATGGCACGTTCCGGTGCACACCCAAAGGATATCACCAGTTTGTGACCCTCATGATGTATGATCAGTATACGGAGCTATACGTACCTGTATTTTTTACGCTGGCAACAAATAAAACGGAAAAGCTGTACAATAAAATGTTCAAGTGCATCGAGTTTTCGTTGGGGAAAAAACCAAATCCAGCGAACGTGGTTTGTGACTTTGAAGCAGCCTTGATTTTTGCAATACGTGATAATTTTCCGTCAACACGCATTGTTGGCTGCATTTCAAGCAGGCGTGTAGCAGGAAACTAAAGGAGTACAGTATGCCGAAAGATGAATCTGCAATTGCGATGTCTTTTGGAGTATTTGACATGCTCACCGTAGTTGACCCAGACAAGATTTCGGTACAGGGGGTTGCGTGGGTTAAACGCGAGATTAAAAAGCGTTGCGATCGGAAAAGTATTACGTATTCTCGGGAAAAGTGGAATAAGTTTTGGGCATACTTTGCCAAAACATGGTTAGAAACCTACCCTCCCGATCTTTGGAATATATATGGCGTTCAACGTCAAATCGTGAATCGGACTAACAATCATCTAGAGAGGTTTCACCGGGAGCTGAATGCGAGGATAAAGACTCATCCGTCACTTAATAGTTTCGTCCGCGTCATTGAACAATTTGCAAGGGAGTATGTTGTACTGCGCAAAAGTATTATATCTGGTGATGCTACCGCTCCTGTGCGACCTCCAATGCGATTCCCAAAAGCGGCGGCTTTGCCCAACGTCAGCGATATCGAGGCATCACCCAGCGAGGATGAGGACGATGCATCTCTCGGTAGTGATGATAGCGACGCGGCCCCCAACTTGTCTGACGAAGATCTCGGTATTGTGTACGACAACTCATTTGATTATGAGGAAGAAGAGAAAGCAGACGGATCTTAAAAACATGAATTATATATGATTTTACAGCATCTAATGACATGTCGATTTGAGCACGGGTTGTCACACGCTTCAATATATAATGATCGAGCCGATACGTAGAATCATTATGTCCCGTTGATAAAGATCTACGATGTCGGGTGACTTGATTTATACTTTTCCATGACAGTATTAGGCACATACTTGTTATCAAGATGTTAGTCGAGCCGCCAGCGATGTCTGCCGGCAGAACTAGTGAAAGCACCAACGATACTAATCGCTACCGGCACAGTTGTACTTGCTATCAGCATACTTACCGGGTTAGTTGCACTTATTCAAACAGTAAATAATTTACGATACAAATCTCTGGCGGTTGCGTAGTACTATTAGATCTCAATTGCATAAGTCTGAGGGGGCCTGCACTAACGGAGGTAGCAGTCGCAGAGCTGACAAGAACACCAAGTGTTATCCATCGCCGAGGTCAAGTTTGATTAGACCACGTGACCAAACGATTATTTTTGAGCGGGACCAAAATCGTCAGAGACCAAGGAGGATGATTACCCGAGAAGGAGAGCAACAGCTCTGACGAAGAGGAGGAGGAATCTGTCGCACAACCTGCACGGGGAAAGAACCAGTCCGCGCCAGTGAACGCATTCAGTCTGCTCGACTCAGACTCGAGTGATGAAGATAGCGACGACGAGTAGAAATTCACACACCAGCCTTCCACGACAAAATGGGCCAGCTATGAGCTGCATGGAAGGAATAAACTGTCTATTCTGCTATTCTGTCCGCTCTTGGACCTGGACACATACATGTGCCTATCTGGTGATATAATACAGCCTAGCACGCTCCACATCTTCCACGGGGCATTCCTCCAGCTCAGCGGCGGCATCGGCAACATCTTCTGCTGGCAGTTTAACTTTTTCAAAGTTTAGCCCCGAGTTGATGATCTGCTTCTGTACTAGGTCATGTGTCACTTCGGCACGAGGAATGTGGCACAGCACGAATGCTCGCTCGACATCATCGTCCGATGCCAGCACCCGAGTCACCGTAGCGAAAAGAAGCGGCAGCAGCTCGCTCTTGTAAAGCACGTCACCAGCCAATACGACGTCCACATCCGTCAGAGCGCCAGGAAACTCCTTTAGCAACGTCTGCGCAGACGGCTCATCGCCCCAAAACAGCGAGCGAGCAGTCACGACATCTTCCGCCTCATTCACTTGCACGTTCTTCGCCAATAGTTCCACTACTTCTTCATCACCGTCGGTAGCCAAACACTTGACTGCTCCAAGCTTGGACGACACGATGCTGCAGATGCCAGTGCCAGCTCCCAGCTCCAACACACGTTTACCACGCACGAGCTCTGGGTGGCGCCACAGATACTGCGACAGTCCCATCAACAGTCAGTACATTGTTTGCAATATCTGCGCAATACAATTGTGAACATTGTTTACCCGTGAGAGGAAATGCGAGCCCGTCCAGAGGCGTGTGCCTGAAATCTCCGTCACGTTGGCATCCATCTCGGCCAGCATAAAGAGCGATGCAGCCACCGGAAGCTCCTCCATCTGGAATACCTGAACCTCCAGGTCGCCCACGACCACGCGCTTAGTCTCGTACTCCACGCATGCGCGCCAGTCGGCCTCGTCCGATGAGGTGGATGCTACACGGTTCCGTGACTTAGCCATTTGCGTCGAATAAGCTTTTGGCCAGTCAAAAACGTAAACAAAACCGAATCTGCCAATTAACGGTTCTGATTTCGGAATTCGCAGGATAGGCTAACCCCTTAGGTGTCCACTGGATACTATCCGGTACGACAGAGTGTAAGGCCGATATCAAATTTTGATAGAATGGTACCGGAAATAGAGCAATTTGATGCAAAACGCTCTATTTCCGGTACCATTTTCATCCTGGCGTGCGACGCTCAGTGGGCGAAGAGAGGGAGGAAATCGACGATCCTGACGGTGCCATCGCTCATGAAGCCGCAACCTCTTAGAGGACAAAGCCCTGGAGTCTGAGCTGACAATAAGTGCACTAATGCTGCGTGTTGTGAACGAGCTAGATCACTGATGGCGTCTGTCTATTCATTGTTGGTCGTGACCAGACGACGACACGTGTACGCAGCTCAGTGGAGAGTGACGTGAAGACACTCGCTCAAGACGAGGGTAAGCGCAGCGTGGGAGAAAGATATGACGCAGAAGAAGACAGTGATGTAGCTCCCACGCTGCCAACCGAGGGCGAGGCTCGACAGTTTGAAGTCACAACGGTAGGTAGGAGCCCAGACGTACAGCTGAAGGACAGGGCTGCGTCATCGAATCCAGATCCCGCGAAGAAGAGGAGGCCGACGAACAAGACGCTCGCGGGTCATGGAAACTCGAAGCAACGGACGGTCGAGCCTCATAAGAAGCGCTTGGCGTTTACCATCGCCCAGATCTGCATGCAGTCCGGCGGACGCTCCAGCGCGGCCGCGCATGATTCAGAAGAGGAGCCGGCCAGCTACGTCGAGGAGGCAGACGACGTTGGAGACGACGTATCGATTCACTTAGCACAGGAAGAGGCGTCAGTCGAGCTTGCTGATCTCTCAGATGCCGATGAAGAGTAAGCAGGTCAACATCAATATCGTACCGGATACCGGTGTGTCCGGTACAGTACCACCCGGGTCGGTACCGGATGAGAAAGCTCCAAACCGGATGATACCGGAGCAGCTGGAAAAAACCTGACAGAACGGACATTCGATCAGATTCGCTCCTTGGTGAAGATGGAGCAGTTGCAGCACTGGAAGCCTCTCGAGGGCACGCTGTCGAAGATGAAGGAGTATTTATGAAGGGATTTGGTTGTGTTGATGAAGCGTGGTGCGATTTTTTGACGCCTTAGCGGATCACATCCGTTCTTCGTGGCAGTTACGGTCCAAGTGAGCTTCATACAGTACGGGGCTTAGGAACAAAAAGATGCAAGAGCGTGGGGTTCCTGAAAATGATCCATCACTACTTCTCGCTCACGTTACTGTGTAAACACGGAATTGAGCACCCAAAGAAGAGTAAGGGGAAACGGCAAAGAAAAGTATTCGCTACTTGGGATGTTTCGCCAAGGTGAAAGCTCTTTCGAAGCGTGACGTCTGTGGGAGCTGGAAGGTTTATCATTCGTGACAACGATCGCACAATCATTTGCGAAGTGAAGAGCTGTTTCGGTTTTATTGTGCGAATCGGCGTGTTACGGACCCAGAAGTTCTGCACCAGGTCACAAGATGCATTTGGCAGGCTCGTCCGCGAAGTGATTTTTGCAGCATCTCTGAGAGGAAACAGGTACTTCCTTTTGTCTCTGTTATGAGAGCAAAATGCAATCTTTTTACGTGAAGGGAAGAGCATGGATCTTCGCGATGTTCATAACCTCCTGGCTTCTTTAAATCATGAGAACAGAGGAGGCAAGCCCGACGAAGATAGCACGGTGGCGTTGCTGTCTGAGTTTTGTAAGACGGTCGGGAATTCAGCGGCCGTGTCAGTGAACAACCCGTCCAGTTTAGTTGACGCGGTATGCCTTCAAACGCTTGGACAGAAGAGATTATTTAAAGCTTTTCATTGAAGTTGTGCTTGTGGATTCCACGCACAGAACCAACAGGAACTATTATAAGCTCTTTATAACCCAGTCGATGGTGTCTTCGGGATGGTAGACCAATTTTTTCAGCTGTTGTGTATGTTTGGGAATGATACCGGATGAAAAATATTTTGTACGTTTTGTATCAGTACCGGAGTCAAACAAAACTAATTGTGATGGGGTTTTGGATGTTATATAGGGTCAAAATGTCCAACACGCGCTTGTTGAGAGTGAGACGAAGGACATTTTGCTTGGACCATTTCAAGGAAGTGACTCCGTCATGGAAGAATATCCGTGTGGTGGTAGCCGACAAGGATTTCAAGGAGAAAGACATTCTCGCCGAAGCCTTCCTGAAGCCCGGCAGATCCTTTGCAAATTCCATGTTATCGTCTATCTGTCAGGCATATTTTTAATCCTTGGCAAGCTCAGTTGACTGATCGTATTGTAAGCTATAGGTTAGAAGCAGATGCAGCCGGAGGGCAGATGCAAAGAAGGACATCATTGAAGCGTTGCAGTTGACGATGAAAGCTGAAAGTGCAACGATGCACGATGCGTATCGAGATGACATGATGCGTTCGCTCGCCTACAACAAGAAAGACCCGCTTCTCCAGTACTTTGAATCCAATTCGGAGACATGCAAAGAGGAGTGAGTCGCATAAATAATCACGCCAGCAACCGGATAGAAAGTGGCTGGGGGGGGCCAAACAAGTGGTGGACCGAAAGTACCTCATTGACAAGCTCATCAGTACGTCAGTGTGACACGCCTGCGTGTGCGTGGACGAATCCTGCGAAGGAATCTCCAAGACTTTATTGACCAGATTGATGGAGATTGAAGGATGGAGACGTGGGATGAAGCAACTTCTAGTGCACAGGCAAGGTAACCTTTTAATTCATTCTCACATTTACTATCTACTCCGCAAGTCCCTCTCACTTTCGGATCCGAGCACTCCTCTGCAAGCCACGAGTGTGTCATTTTGATATATCAAATTTGAATTCAAATCGGAATTAAGAGGATCAAGAATGGACAAGGATGAGTACGTGTCGTACACCTTGGTGATAACAGCGGCCACAGCCAACACCGTCGCAGAAACAGCGACAATAAAGATCAAGAAGTTCTATGGTGGCAGCCCACGCGACTGGCTTAAGTGGAGCAGCCAATTTCGGAGTCTGGCTCGCAAGAAGCAGTGGACGGACGAACAGAAGGCGCACAATCTCGTAGCGCTTATCGAAGGAGATATCGAGGCTGAGGTCGAGGTGGCTGCTCGGGAAGCTGCTACCTCTAGAAAAAGCTTCGAAGGGTTCTTCACAGACGTGGGTCTATTGTCGGTTTCACCCGACTTCAGTGAAGATCTAGACAATGAGCTGTGGACGATGGCGAAGCGCCGAGACGAGACAGTGCTCAAGCTTTCACAACGCTTGAAAGAGGATATTCGTATGTTTGCTGAGCTGCTCCAGAATGCTGAGGAAGTGCCTGAAGTGCAGCAGTGCAGATACTTTAAGCGAGGGATGCCTCGCGGCTGGCAAGACAAGCTGGCATCCGCCGGTGTTGTTCATGACACTCTCGGCGAACTCGTGTTGTACTTCTCGCGTCTGGAGAAAGCTGAGCGAGAACAGTCAGCTAGAAACAAGAGCAAGGATATTAGCGGTGGCTCTCCAAACAAGGACCAGCGTCGAGACAAGAACCAGGGTCAATCGTCGCAGAAGAGCTTCCGCAAGGACTGTAAGAAAGGCAGTAATGGCGAAGGAGCCAACGCAAGGAGTGACATGTGGTGTACATTCCATAAAACCGGCTCTCATAATACCAGTGATTGTTACACTCTCAAGAAGAAGGAAAAGCACAAGATAGCGGACACTAAGTCGGAAACAACCAACAAGAAGAAGCACTATCCACGTATCCACAAGGACTTCGAGTCGGACTGGGACAGTGATGAGAACGAGATTAAGTTTGTGGATCTATTGGAGACGAAGGCGAGACCAACGAGCGCGCCGCTGTGTATTCCAGTAAAGCTCCGCCGAGGCGGGTAGACGTTCGAAGCTTTGCTGGGTAGTGGAGCTTCTAAGAGTATTATTAACGGCGGGACACTTGGTGCTAATACGGAACTAGGCCGTAAGTGTATTCCAGCTTCGCCAACTGTCTTTGGGACCATGAATGGTTCGGTCGCCAGTAGCGGTTCTACGATGGTGCAATTTGTTTTCTCGAAGCTCAAGTCCGAATCGGTTATCACGCATAGATTCGAGGTAATTAAAGATAGCAAGGACGCAATGGTGATTGGACGCGACCTTATGAGCGCACTCAGCCTCATTTTAAATTTCAAGGACAAGGTCGTACAGTGGGATGAGTGCAGTCTCAGTCTCAATACAGGCCAGAGCGCGACGGACGAGGCCGTAGACGCCAAGAAGGACCAAGAATTCTCGGATGATTCGAAGGAGGTTGCCAACGGGTCGATCAAACCTGAGCAACTCCTTCCTGATGAATTGAACGGCCAGCTTTCTCAACGCTACCTGGAGCTGCTCGTCCAGTATCGCAAGTTATATGATGGCCACCTTGGACGCATGCGCTTTGACGATTACGAAATACCTATTACGCCTGATTATAAGCCGGTGCACGCGAAGCCGTACACTGTTGCACGCAGCCATGAAGCCAAGGCAAGAGAGAAGATATAGCAATTGATCACCGCTGACGTGCTAGAGCAGATCTACGACAGTGAAGTCGCGGCGCCTGCTTTCTTCTTGGATAAGCCGGACGAATCTTTGAGATTGCTGGTTGACTACCGATGGCTGAACAAATTCCTTCGACGAAGCCCGTATTACGTGCCACGTATACGAGAGGTACTAATGCGACTCTCTAAAGCGATATGTATTTCGACGTTCGACGCTAATCTTGGATACTACGCTAGGCGACTTGCAAGAAAAAATCGCCTATTTACGGCATTTTGTTTGCCATGGGGCAAGTTCCAGTATAAGCGTCTTCCGATGGGGATCTCTACTGCTCCCGATGAATACCAGGCCTGTATGGAGAGAATATTTGGTGATTTGGAATTTGTCGTGGTTTACTTAGACGACATCCTGGTGTTTTCCGCCAGTGCAGAAGAACATCTTGAGCACCTGCGTATTGTGTTCAAGCGCTTGGATACGTTTGGTGTCTCGCTCAATGGCAAGAAGTGTCATGTACTCCGCAAGGAGGTCGACTACCTAGGATACACGCTCTCGGCTGAAGGCGTGAGGCCACAGGCCAAAACGATTCAGGCAATACAGCGAATTGCCGAACCAAGTAACAGGAAAGAGCTCCGCCACTTCCTCGGAATGATAAACTACTTCATGGACATGGTGCCGAATAAGACAACGCTCTGCAAGCCACTGCACCGACTCACAAGCTCCAAAGTGCCCTTTACGTGGCTGTCCAGTGATACGGAGGCTTTCCGAGCTATCCAGCGTGCTTTTGGGGAAGCGGTGCTGCTGTCATTTCCTGATTTCGAGAAGCCGTTTGACGTCTACGCCGACGCTAGCGGTACGCAGCTCGGTGGACTGATAATGCAAGGCGTTAAGATTCTCGCGTGCTATTCTCGTAGCCTGAACAAGCATCAGCTGAACTACACTACCATGGAGTTGGAGTTGCTTTCCGTGGTCGAACTACTGAAAGAATACCGCACGATGCTTCTTGGTTTCCCAGTTGTGGTACATACGGACCACAAGAATTTAATCTTTCCGACCGAAACAAGCCTGCGGGTCAAGAGATGGAAGTTACTACTCTCAGAACACTGGATGACAATGCATTACATTTAGGGCGTGAAAAATGTTGGGGCCGACACCTTCTCAAGGATGCGATTTGCTATACGCAATGACGCGGCATCGATCGACAAAATCTACGCTACTAACGAGCGAACGGAATGCGTGATGGACGGACCAGTCATCCGCGAACACCAGGAGGCCGATGCTATGGTGCAAAAGGTCAAAGCCGCGTGCCTCGCAGGCACGAATAATCAGGATTACCAGCTAATTCGCCTATTAGGATGCACTCTGGTGGCGTACCAGAAGCGTGTTATCGCTCCAGATAGCCTTCGTGATGATCTGATAGCTTGGTATCACCAGAATCTCGGACATCCTGCAGGCGAGCGCCAGTTCAAGACCATGCGCCACAGGTTGTACTGGCCTACTATGGAGACTAGCATCGTCAAGTTTGCTAAGAAGTGTACAGCCTGCAAGCGTGCCAAGTTACATGGTGGAAAGCAGGACTTTGGTCTTTTACCGCCTCGCAGTATGAGAACGGTGAGCCCATTTGACGTTGTGCATGTTGATTTGATTGGTCCGTACGATGGTGGCAGCTATGGAATTACGATAGTTGATCCAGCGACCAGATGGCTCGAAGTCGGTGTCCAACAGGACTGTCCAACAGGACAAGCGGGCGCTCACGACGGCGGAGAGGTTCGACCGCGAGTGGCTGTGCCGCTATCCGCGACCACGTACCGTGATTCATGACCAAGGATCAGAGTTCACGGGCGAGGAATTTCAGGAGCTGCTACGGAGCTACGGTATCAAGGCCAAAGCAATTACGACGAAGAACCCCCAGGCTAACGCGATATGTGAACGCATCCACCTGAAAATTCTCAATGTGATCCGATGTCACGAGGGCGTCGACTAGAAAAAAGTTATTTACTACGCAGCATTCGCTGTCAGAGCTAGTTACCACAGCATTCTCAATGCGTCTCCGGGGCAATTAATTTTTGACCAAGATATGATTTCGCGCCAATTGCATTACGCAAATTGGAGCTACATGTCCAAGCGCAGGTTTGAAGCTATTCTAGCTGATAATGATCGCGAAAATGACAAAAGAATTGAGCATTTCTACCAGCCAGGAGACCAAGTGGTGATCCGCGTCCCCAAGCAGTTCCGTGTAAAGACCAAGCGCATCGCCGATGAACCGTTCTTTATCCTGACGGTCCATGACAATGGAACCGTCACTGTCGACAAGGGAGCTTCGCAGCAACAGGTTAGTATACGCCGTATTTTTCCGTGTTAACTATTATTGCTTCATGGGGGGAGCATGACACGCCTGCGTGTGCGTGGACGAATCCTGCGAAGGAATCTCCAAGACTTTATTGACCAGATTGATGAAGATTGAAGGATGGAGACGTGGGATGAAGCAACTTCTAGTGCACAGGCAAGGTAACCTTTTTAATTCATTCTCACATTTACTATCTACTCCGCAAGTCCCTCTCAAGCAAGGCCTTTCGGATCCGAGCACTCCTCTGCAAGCCACGAGTGTGTCAAGTGATGTTACAAGAGTGGTCTGAGGAGCCAATTGATCAAGATGCAGCTGACCCCAAGCTGCTGACCCTATTTGTACAGTTGAGCGAGCACACTTATCGACTCGTGCGGGATCAATACATATACGCATATACGCATACAGCCAAGACACCCCACAACCGAAGGGGCTTCTTCCACGCATAATCTGCTCAGCAGCGATCTCAGACATTGAAATGAAAGAAGAAATCAATGAAGAAGATGCCGTCTACGTTGCCCGTTGGGATACGCACGGGTATGCGACAGTGGATCAGCTGAAGGACATGACTCTAATTATCGACGCTAGAGAAGCCACGGATAAGGTGAAGGCAACGCTGGAGTGAATTAAAGGTCTCTCCATACCGACGTTCGGTACCACCGAGCCATTTGATGATTGCTGTTCCCTACCTAAGTATGTACAATTTATCCGGTATTGGTGTTTTGATTTTTCGGTATGATAATTAAAACTGATACTAAGCGCTTTACTTTTATCTCTAACTGGTCGCTACAACAGCTGTTAAAACTCTGCCGCTACAGGTACTCACTCAGAGGCAAGAAAATCGAAGGTGCTCGACTGTTGGAGTTTAGAGACACACAGTGGTTGGGATCGTCTTGTATACGAGCTGGATTATACGAGCTGGATTATTTCTCTTAGCCCGTGCGTATGTCTCCAATGATGTGGGGATTCTTGCTCCTGACTGGTACCCCTTCACCGACACTTTGCGACAGAAGAAGGCTGCAGCAACACACGGTGCGTTTCACTCCGCAGTGACACGACAGATTGGTGTCGTTAGCAGAGGGTGCTGCCACTGGATGTCATTCTTTATTGACCTGTCTTCGAGTGACGCTACATGCACTCTGTTCGACTCAATGCAGTCGAATGCAAGCTATGATGCGCTGGAAAGAACCGTACAAGCGTCTATAATTTCCCAGCTGGGCCAATCTCAAATAAGCTTCGAGCGGTGGACGCAGTGCAAGCAACAAGATGGACATTCATGTGGCATCTGGAGTCTATTCTTCTTGGAGTTCATACTTACTGAACACCCTTGGGCTGACAGCTAATATGATCTTGAGCAGTACCTACGTCTCAGATGCCTACTTTGTGTGCGCGAGATGCAGTGGAAGACAAAATGTAGGGAGCTTTCGTTCAATAACATTGATAGTAACATTCTGCTTTTGTGTTCAACGATGTTTTTGTTAAGGAAATTGCCTTAGCTCCAAGATCACAACTTTCGTACAACACGTACTTTATCCGGTACCAAAGCACGTTTTTAGGTACACACTCCATTCACCAAAAATTAGAATTTTCCTCTGGTAAGCTACGGTGCCCAAGGCAACAGACGAATATATCTTCGTCATTTACTATAATAACACGTCTTTCAGGTTTTACCTCTTAGCATATGATTGATTACTGTAGGGCTACCATAATTGATTTTTGTCCGGTGAATGTATAAATACAGTACTGCACCCCGTTTTCGCGAGGGTGGACCATATAGGATTTGCTAATAAATAAGATTTGAGATTTCAAATTAAAGCTCATTTGGATTCATGATCATCACATATAAAAGTTTATTAAAGGTCCAAGGGCGCGAAAGCGGGGTGCAGTCAGGGGCTAATGGTAACCAAATATCAGAGGATATTTTTGATAGTAATCGTAGTGCTTTAGAGCTCCATAGACCCACGAATTTTTTATCTCCTTGGGGACGACCCGCAGACTCCTTGGAGCGCTTTCTGTCCATCCTCAAGCTGTATTAACATCGCTGTGTTGCTATAACTATTAGAGACAATACACTGGAATTATTTTTTTCGTACTATTTTCGATACTAAATATCTATAGTAACTCTTTTTTGGTCGGGTTGGAGTAGCGCCCTCCCGGTAGATAGCGCCGAGGCTCAGCTCGGCGCCACTCTGCGGACGCAACCCTCGTGGCAGCATATAGCTTTGACGGGACTGTGCAGGCGTCTCTGTGGGTAAGGCGGTGCGGTGATGTACATTGTGGTCTCGGTCACGGCGCGCAGAAGGCTTCGCTGCGACTATGACCGGGTTTGACGTAGCGAGCGGGCCATCAACGGCATGGACCAGGAAGATGAACTGGACGCGCATCGAGGCCAAGGCGTAGGGCGGACTCCAGCGATGGACCTTGTACTCAGTGGACGGCGGGCGAAGGGCTCGGCGAGGGAGGCAAAGGACCGGAACAGATATTACAGATCGAGCCACTCAGCGTCGAACCTGTTACCGTCCGGTGAGTCGGATACGTGCAAAGAGAAGAACAGATACTACGATCATGGCACAGAGCAGATGGCACCGGTTGGAAACAGGACCTGGGGCTGCCCGACACTGAAGAAGAGGCCGGAGCAGGAGAGCGACACAGCAATCATCATTTTCACCAAAGACGAGGTGGAGGGAGGGGGGGGGCACGGAGAGCCTCACATTCCTGACGTACGCGGAAAAGGTATACCGGTATTGTACCTAGTATGATACCGGTGGCTCTGTTTTTTTATACCCCGCTGACTAGCAATATAGAGTCTAGCACGGAGTATGTAGGCTACGCGATAAACGTAATACATTACATTACATTAGTAACTCTATTTTTTAAAGGTTAACATAGTTTTTTTTACTAACTCATAGAATTGAAAAATATTAGATAACGTAATTTGCCAGTTGAGTGCCTGATTTTGGGCATGTTCAAAAAGTGCATCTAGCGGAAAAGACACCAATTGTTGTTTGAATTGGGTCTTTGGAAATCGAAAAGGGAAAACCAACGCATCTATTACTTATTGTTGCGTTTTTTTACAAACGAACATGTGAGGTGCAAAGGTTAGTCAAAAGTGAGGATGGAATCTGAAGCTATCGGTTTTGAGCACGGTTCTGGATATCGACTAAAGCTCACCCTGGAGCAGCATCTCCTTGGTTATAAGACGCCTTACAAAGTCCACGGTGCGTCGTAAGCGTTTGCGTTTAGTGCGAGGTGCTGTTGGCAGCTGTAAAATGCTGCTGCGTATTTCTTCGTAAATTTCACGCTTTCACTTGAGTCATGCCGCCCTTCCAATGTCTCCGCGTGCTCCACCGCTCGCAAACAGTCGTAAACAAGTCTGCATACTAGGCAAGGATGGTGTATAAACTCCCGTGGTTCTGAAGCCATTAACAGCGTTTTCAGGGCTTGTCACCACCGCGTTACGATACGCATGGCACGCTATCTCGATTGTATCCGATTTTGCAATAGTACAGTCCGAACTGTGCAGCATTTTGGCTAGTAAAGTAGATTTCACCATGCTCGTGAAAGGCTTGAAAACAGCCACGTCAAGAGGCTGATAGAGGTGAGTGGCATTTGGAGGGAGATCGACGAGCAAAATTCCTCTGTGTGATCAAACGGAAACTTCATCTAAAATAAATCTACCCGTCAAATTGATTTATACAAAATCCTTGTTAATAACTAAAATAATTCTTATAAAAATAAAGCACTTACCGATTCGACATGATTCGAGCTGTTGTCCAGGACCAGCACCACCGGACGCTTCACGTTGTTGTTTGTCAAATACGAGTCAAACGTCTTCATCCAGAGCTTAAATATACCGGTATTATTTCAAGCGTGAAGGTTCCCCCTCGGCGCAGCGTTGTGGACTCCACGTCTTCGTCGTCTGTCCCCATGGCTTCGTGTCTTGTGAAATGAATGGGTTCCGGTTGGCCAGAATCGAATACCCTTTAAAAATGATGAGTCTGAAAAAGGTGGATTTTATTCAGATGGTTGTTGAAAAGCGTGCACTGAACTGACTGAAATGAGATCAACCAATTCAATTGCGCCATTTTAATTTTAAGCATAGCAATTGGCAGAGATTCTGCATCGTGCACACAATTGGCATCACGCACTCAACTGACAAATTACGTTACTACATGATATTTTATGATAATTTCCCACTTAAGTACGTTTCTTGGCACCCTACCCTCTGTGAGCCAAGCGGAGCCAAAGAACTCTTTCAGTCAGGTTCTAGAACCGCAGAAGGCTTTAAGACTGACGAGTATTTGCTCTAGTATTTCACTGTACACAGACAAAGGCGATCGAAATGGAAAACTGCAAACGCTTGCAGTTGTTTAACGTCAGTAGAGCGAAATAAAAACATTTATTCTTGTTCTCTACCGATCTCCTCGTCCACATCGTGCAAACCTGCTGCCTGTGGCACTAGGTTAATGCGCTCAGCAGTGCCAGCACACGACGCCAACCTTGCCGTCTCTAGAGACTTTTCGCAATAGTCTTTGTCGCTACTTTGCCCGCACAAAACATTGGGCAAAGATAATGTGCAGCATCCACATTACGAGCTTTCGTAGGATTCAATATCTTCAGACCAAAACCCTCCCAAATCTGTTTAAGCTCTCCACTACCAATCACTTTTCATCCCGCATGGAGCTGATCCTCCTGCTCCACGAACTCCTCGGCGACGCAGTTACGGCTGCGGAGGCAGCTCTGCTACTCAGCTTCGAACAGCCTGAGCGTCCGATCATCCCAGATGTGAGGTTTTGCGTCACAACTCTATCAGACGAGGATTGTAGGCAGCAGTTTCGCTTTGATGTCGCTGGCGTCATCCGCCTAACGGAGCTCTTCGCTCTTCCGGAGTTCGTGATCACGGGTTCGCGCGATAAGGCGCACGCCACTGAGGCAGTGTGCATCTTGCTCCATCGCTTGAGCTACCCCAAGCGCCATTACGACATGATTCACAGATTTGGGCGCTCCTCAAGCGCCCTGTGTCGTATTTTCATGCACGTCGGTACGTGATGAGCAAGGATGCATGGGCAGTAAAATTCGTTGACTAACTCTCCTACAGTAATGTACTTGTATGATAGATACGAGGATACTTTCTACTGCCAGGAAGCAATCGTGGCCGAGCGCATCCGTGCATATGCAGATGCCGTGCATCGCACCGGGTCGCCTATGAAGAACGTTTTTGCGTTCATAGACGGCACCAAGAACCGCATTTGCCGGCCCTCATCTCGCCTTGGGCGCGGAGAAAACCTTCAGAAGCAGGTGAACTCGGGCCACAAGCGCACTCATTGCCTCAACTACCAAGCAGTGGTCGCCCCCGATGGGCAAACCCTGCATTTCTGGGGGACGATCGAGGGTCGGCGGCATGACAGCACGCTGCTGCGTGAGAGCAAATTTATCGAGTATATGGAGGAGCGAGCCTTCATATTCGATGGGTACGCTCTCTACGGGGATCCGGCTTATGGAATACGCAAGTTTCTAGTGTCAGGTTTTCGAAAAACGGCGCCGACGGATGCCGAGCAGCGTTTCAATAAGCTCATGAGCTCTGTCCGAGGAGCTGTTGAATGGCAATTTGGTAGCATTAAATCATTGTGGGCATCCATCGACTTTAAAAAGTCTCTCCGTCTGCGACTGAGTCCCATTGGTAAGTATGTGCTTGTGAGCATGTTGCTCACAAACTGTCACTGCTGCTATAATGGAGGCAACCAAATTAGCGCCTTCTTCGGCTTGGCACCACCCTCACTAGATGCATACCTAGCTAAGTGAACGTCAAACCTCGCTAAATAAACGTCATTTGTGTATCCCTTTCAATCACCTTTATTTGCTTTAACAACTGCAAGCACAGCATCACCTATCACGCTCACAAGGCGGAGCATTTGCTCGTTCGCCTCTCGGCGGGCTCGAGCTGCTTCCTCGCGGTCTTCTTTTCGTTCTCGTCGGCGGCGTTCAGCTTCCAGCTCCCGCACCTCTTGTCACTCCGCCAGCTTCTTATCCTTGAGCGTGATGAGGAGATCCTTCAGCTCCGTCTCCTTGCGCTTCTTGACGAGCGTGCTGTCGCCTCCGCTCTCTTTAAGCGACTCCATGGCAAGTCGACGCGCGACAAGCGGCGTCTCCTCCCCGCGCTCGCGCTTTCGGAGCCCGGTCTCCTTCGCGGCGGCCGTCTTGGCTGCATGGTCGTCGAGCATTGCGACCAGGTCGTCCAGCAGGATGACCTTTTCCGACTCGTCCTCGTCCACGCCCGACGCCTTCGCCGACTCCTCCGCTACAGCACGGTGGGCTCGACTAGCTTGTCGAAGCGCCCGCTGGCCGACTTGCCACTCAGCTTGTTGCGTGGAAAATTCTCGTCTGCAACAAGCTTAGTGGCAAGGGCCTTCCACGCTGCCATGATGCCTCGCTGCCGGAGAAATGGGCGGTCCGCGTGGATTTTGCGCAGCAAAGCCAGGTCTTCATCGTCTGTGAAGTTCTTGCGGCGCGGCGCTCCAGCCATGGTGCTTGACGGAGATCTGAATATGCTGCACTCGTGGCCACGAGTGGTGTTGGTTGTGTGAACCACACGTGTTTGGTGGAGAAAGCTGTCTCCACAATCGCGATTTCTGTGGACTCCAATCCTCACTGCTGGCTCCACTGGACCGTCTCTCGACTGTTTTTGGCTTTGTGGGGATAATGTGCGGGTGGAGTGACTTGCGAAAAGTCTCTACTCTCACAGTTGTCCAATAATTCAGCTAGTCGAGCGTTAACGACATCTTATTGGTGGATGTAGCCCGATTATGCAATCTTTGAAAAATATAATATCGTATTAGCTAATATTAAGTTGATATTTAATAATATCATATTGTCTCGAAACAAAATATTAGGTGATATTTTTATATACAGGTGATATTTTCACAAGTCTATCAACGATTAAGGCAACATCATTCTTGGTCGTCCAATCAGAACTCTCCTTCTTTAGCTCAAACAACGCTATTAAACTCGCATCCTCAGTTTGCCACGAATTTTCTGGCCATTCGGAGATTAGCAGCGTACGCGATGACCTACTCTGGCGACTTGCGGTGGAGAGCGGTAGTCCTGGTCTATGTATACGGCATGGATGCCGCTATGGTTGGCACAATATTCGGAAGCCACGAACGTAGTGTCCGTTGCTGGATTACGAAGTTCGACAAGACAGGATCACCGTGTTGGAAGGCACCGTCACGAGAGCGCAGCAGCAAGTGGCCACGTGAGGTAATACAATTCGTGGAGAAATATGTAGAAATACATCCGTGCTTCTACATTGAAGAGCTTCAAGACGAGCTTCGCCGCAAATTCGAGCACGTGACGAGCACGTCAACTGCTTCGATATGCCGCGCGTTACGGTTCGACCTTAATCTGACAAGGAAAAGATTAACTAAGCGTGCAAGAGAGTCAGCTCCGGGAGAGCGCCGTGAGTATGCCGGTCGGTTGCTGCCGTTTTACAGTTGCCCCGAGCAGCTCGTGTTTGTTGACGAGACATCCAAAGACGGAAGGTGCGATAGCAGAACGACTCGTTGTTTGATATCTATTGTTTTTTTAACATATTTTTTAATGTTGTACAGGAGTGTTTTAAGGAAGCACGCGTGGTCAAAACGAGGCACGCCAGCCGTTGTCAGTTTGCCTTCGTCACGTGGTCAGCGGGTCTCCGTGCTGGCAGCAATGGACGTGAGCGGGTTTTTCTCATGGGGTCACACATTTGACACATTTACTAGGAAAGAGTTTCATCAGGTATTTGCAACGAAACTTGCACCTTACCTGAATCCGTGGCCGCTTCCACGGTCAATTGTGATACTTGATAATGCCAAGATCCATATGTACGCGGAGCTACAAGACTTGGTACACTCGACCGGAGCTCTGCTATTCTTTTTACCACCATACTCCCCAGATTTGAACCCAATTGAAGTGGGATTTTCGCTTTTAAAACGCTGGATTATTAAGCACGCAAGTCTTGCATTCAAGGAAGCACCGGTTCAAGTTCTAAGTGCTGCGCTGCGCGAATGCACCAAGGCAAATGAATAAGTTGGCTACGGATTATACTGACACTGCGGTTATCTAGGAGCTGCATTGAATATTGCGCAGTAACTAATCGATGTAATCCTATACAGCAAATTCTGCAATGTCTCGTTCATTTTCTTCATCGCTTTGTAGATGATCAACATCTTCCATGTCGTGTGCAGGTGGCTGCACAAATTCCGGTGCTTGTCGAAATGAAGGGCACAATGGATACATCGGCAAGCCGAGCGCCTGGCGGATGTCTTGAACTCGCATGCGCAGTGTCACCGTAGCGTCGTTGATCTTGACTTGTATGGGGGCGAACTCATCAGGTTCTCTTGACGAACTTGCCGCTTGTTGCTCCAGGCTGTCGATGTGCTGAAGCTGGCGGAATGTTGTGTTGTCTGGCACGCGGACGTCTTTACCATCCGGTAATCTGGCTTGAGCCGTAGCAGCGTAGCGTAGGGTAGCAGGACCGAATGGTACGTTAGCCGTTAGTAGAGCTGTTTGTACGCGCGGAATCACTTGTTGCACACGGTTTTCGGTCGCACGATGAAGCGTAGTAGCTGGCGCCTTCTTAGGCTTCGCTACATATACAAAGAGATCGAGCACAAAATCAACCTGCCCACCACGGCGCAGCCGAGCATTGCGCCACGCTGCTTGCAATGACGGCTCGAAGCCACCTTGATCTAGTTTTACGAAGGTCTTTTGTGGTGCATTCTTGGCGGGTCTGATGTGCACGTCGAGATCGTCGCTCCAGCATAGACGCTCCTTTGTAGCAAAAGCCGACTTGACTTTCGCCCTTAGCACACCGTACCCTTCAGATACATCGATGTCGAACGACAAAGCAACGCCTTTATCGCGACATCGCTCCAGTGGTCTCCCAGCTTTCACCGTCAGCTCGCAGCGCAAATGACTAGGAAGCGACACCTCCATAGGAAAACAATCAATGGGCAATCGGGTATGAGTCAAGCTGCATGTATTATTGGAGATGAACAGTAGTCTACATTAAGCACAAAACAGCCACACTGTAGGGAGGTCAGAACGTGAGCAGGTCATAAAGATAGAGTGGCAAGTACTTACTTTTTGATTGAGTATCCGGCGGGGAATTAACCCATACGGGCGACAGTCCCTCTTGGAATAAGCATGCGCTGCATTCCCCCTCAATTGACCTCCGTCGTAACGTGTGCGGAAGCACTGCTCAGGAGGCCGTCAACCGGATAATGAACACTCTTGTGTGGAGAATGCAAGGCCCCGTCCCGTGAGGAAGAATTCTCCATCAGAATAAGAAAGACCTCGTCCCAGAATAAGATTACCCTGGTCGCATGATTTGCTCAGTTTAAGATCGACTATTAGGCGGACAATTTGAGTAAAACGGACAATATCATCGTCCCTATAATAATACATATAAATACGAGGTTTTCGTTTTTTTTTCGTTTTTGGAGACAGCAAAAAAGCGTCGAGCATTTCATTTTAAAAGGTGACTGCCCGTTGACTCCACCATCTATGGCTAAAAGCCGCTAGCTTTAGTATTGGAACACTTATTAATAGCTACTGCTTTGGTTTTATTAGCGTCAACATACGTGTTTACTTGTACTAGTTACGAGCTTGAATTGTTGCCATGTAAAGTTGATTTGGCTGATGTGCGTTTGCTCCATTGTAGGTGGAGCCTACTCGTCCCTAGAAATCGCCTCGAACAGCAAACGCTCGAGCGCGAGGAAAAACTCGTTGGGTGGGCGGCGACTTAGCACGCCGATTTCGATCTCGCCGCGCTGCTCGTCGAACTGGTTGGGCTTGAACGTGTATGGGATACCGGAGCGCTCACATGCGCTTTGGATGGCAAGTTCCAGACGTGATGGCTCCTGGAAGCACCCGTCCCGTGTCATAAAGTTCCCCATCCAGAACAGCGTCTTGCCTTGAGAAGCTGCCAGCTTCAAAAAGAGTGTGCAAATCTTGAGTGTAGTCACGCATTCCTCACGAATACCAAGCGATCGCAAGATCTTTGCATCTCGCTCAGCATCCAATGCCTCGATGTACTGCATAGCAGCAGGCGAGAAGGGCTCACGGGTCTGCGGGTACTCGATCCAGTCGAAGCGTGCTTCAGACAAGTGGAACCAGCTTGGAAGAATGCAACCGTGATCGATAGGCACCATGGTGTACGGCTTCTTCTCGCCGATTAGCAAGATGTTGCCTGGATGTCGATCCGTATTGAACACGCGCACGTCCAACAATGCAATGCGGTGAATTTGTTCCACAGGAACAAACTCGCGCGCCTTGTCGAGGTCAAAGGGCATTCCGAAACTCTCCATGCTTCCAATAGTACTCGACATAAAGCGCTGGACAGCTCCTTGCTTAGCACGCCCCATACTCGTGAGCCGTAGTTGTGCAACAGCTGTAGGAGGAACACCACTGAAGCCATTGCTGCGTGAATCAAGCACGTACGCCGCCTCCTCACGAACAGCTCCTTCTCCAGCAAACAGTCCTTCACGCACGAACTTCTCTTCCTCGGCAGGTTTGAAGAGCGCTAGCTTCTGTCCGCTGGATCGAGACTGCACTGCGTACACACCACCTTCACCTTCACCCACGGGGTCGGCCACACCATCGGCCGTAGAGCTTAACTGCGCTACGTCCCACAGCATTTTGCGGCGTAGACCACTACCAGAGCTCAGACGACGTAGTCTCAGCTTTGCGATGAAGCCATCTTTGCCCTGCTGAGCCAGCTCATGAACATCGACATACACGTCATCGGCCACATTATTGTTGACTCCTCTTGCAGAAGGAGGTGGGGTCGAACGCAGCGATTTGTTGTGCTGTGAATGCCCCCCTAAGAGCTTGTACACTGCCACGCTCATCTCGCCAACTTGGCAGCCCAATTGCAAATCCTGAGCTACTGCCTGAACCATGAGCTTCTCCTCATTGCTGAGGTAATCGGGGAACATGGTGATCTGGGCGTCACCATTGACATAGAACTCGCGAAGTTCCTGGTAGAGCGACGAGCGCTTGACGATGTTCACTGGGGGCTCAGGTAGTGAGCTCTGCAGCACTTTCAATGGCGATACCGATGTCGTGTGAATAGCACCGACTTTTGTCGGTTTGAGAACGGAAAGTGCGAGTTTCTTGACTGAGCTGCTGAGGTCAAGGAGGTTGGTGTCTGCACCCGTGGGCGTTTTGTAGAGGGCGGGGCTGTTACCTGCTCGTTGAACACAATTATCATCATCCTGTGGCTGGTCGTTATGTTGCTCCACCTCGCAAGCTGCAGCGTCTACTGGGACTTGAATCTCGTTACATGGCTCATTCTGGTTACTACTACCTCGATGACTCCTCTCTAGAGCTGCAATACGGGCGTTTTTCTTGAATAACGCAGGACTTGAAGGCCAGATCAGTGCTTGACGCCAGAGTGAGCGGGGCGGTTCTCGGACTGCTTCTCTCGGACTCATCTGCGCACGACCGACGAGATGAAGTAGATGTCGCGACAGCTTCTTGGGCGTCGAGAGGCTGGTGTCTTCGCTCCGGCGTGCTGAGATTGCCACCATGGCTAGCCCTAGGCTTTCGCGCCTGCTCGCCTGTGAGCCAAAACCTCCACTCTTGTCGCGACTTGGAAACGGTTGGTAACGACGCTAATAAAACTACAGGAAGCAGAGTGACGCTCCCTGCTAGAAACTCAAGATCGCTCGCTCCTGGTCGTCAAAGGCGATGGGTCTGCGCGGCCCGCTTCTAGTTGGGAAGTGACTGATGGGCCGCTACGATGGACTGTTGTGCTGCAGTTTCTAGAAGCGTGCTATATTTATCCGAGCGGAAAGAGGAGCTGTTCGGGTATGACCAAGGCGTTGAAGCTGCACTGAGCGTTGGACCAGCCACAATCCATTGGCAGAAACTTGCGCTAATAACGTGAAGCACGACCTTCGATTTACATGTGTCGAGCTACATGCGCAAACGAGAGCAAACTCTTGCTCGACAGCTTTTGTGCGGTTTTCGCTGCTTGATAACCTCCGTGACGAACGATGAATCAGTGTACTACGCCGTAGCAGCTCACCACTTTGGATGATTACTCTTGTGGCTGCTAAATAGGCCAACCCACGAAGTACACTGTAGTCATGGATGCTCGCCGAGTATTTTGCACGCCAGCAGCGGATTTGTTCAGCGGGTAGGCCGCTGCAAGACTCTGGCCTATGGCAACTGGCTCGCAGCCTAGCTTTGCGCTAGCAACGGCGCATTAGCCTCGGCCAGAACAAGTTGAAGCTGCCTTGCCTTCTATTGGTCATACAAGTTTTCCAATTCGTCCAATTGCAGCCCCTTATTCTATTATTCGAATGCAACCGGTGGCAATAGTCAAACGACTGTAGCTGTCTTTTCTTGAACAACTGGTGCCTAGCAATGTATATTCGGTGCCGTCTTTCTAGCGAGTTAAAAAATAATTCTTCCCCCGCGCTGACGACGCACGACCGTGTCCAAGTGGTGCTCTGTTCTTCGCCTACGTCACCGAGTCAGCGACAACTGGACGCTGCACTCTAGAGTTCCCATCAGCGCTGTATAAGGAAAGGACGCGCGTTCAAAAAGCGCTGACGCCGACGCTAGTCCGCCTCCTCGACCATGATCACACCGTCCAGCATCGCCGGTAGCTTCGGCGGGGCCATCAACATGACCGCCTGCAGCGCTGCACCTTCATGGAATGCGCAGCAGCCCGCCGTCCGCTCAGCCACAGTGACGCTGCAGCAGCTCGGCGGCTTCAGTATGCGGAATCTGTCGATCTATGGCACGGGCGGCGACTCGCTCCTCAATGTGTATTTTAAACTAGGTACGGCGGGTGCTAGAGATTCTTGTAGTATCGTAACGTGGCGTTTAAACACTTCTTTTGTGTCCTACTCGCAGTGGTGGATGGCCGCGTCGTGTACGAGAGCGAGGTGGCTCGCAGTACGCTGAACCCCGTCTGGGTGCCATTCCAGTCTGAGGACGACGGAAACAGTGGACTTAAAGGAATGGAGACACTGCTAAGCGGTGGCACTAGATTCGACATTGTGGTGGTGCGTGTGCACGACCGTAAAGCCACGAAGCGGTCGCGGCACAAGACGCGCTCCATGTGCGACCGCTTGTCCCTTGGAGACGATCAACCCATTAACAACTCGCGATCGTTCGCAGACGCCAAAACCAGTTTCGACGATACAGACGACGGCAGTACGAATGACGCAATGATGGACACGGAAACGCCGACAAACGCCATTGGGACTTCTTTGAATACTTTTGAAGAGGAAATATTAAGTCTAAGCTTTGGCATGCGAGAGCTCGAGCCGCTGCCTGTAGCTCTCACAGAACTGATGAACCTGCCACTGAACACCTGTCTGTTCGAGTTCTCAGGCCACATATATGTGCATCGTGAGGTGATTGAACTTCTGGCTGAGAAGGGAATGATCGCTCCAAAACACTCGAGGAGGAAAGGCTCAGCGATTCCTTTAAAAGACTACAGTCTGCATAAAGGCGTGGACGCACTGGAACACATTTTGACTACACGACAGAAGATCAACGAGCTGAGCAAGACGAATGCAGCGCTGAAAGAGCGAATTCGGAACAAACTACTGCACTCTCAGCAGCGCATTGCACGCGAACAGCAACGCACCACACTGGAGGAGCGCGTTCGACTAGCGAAAGTACAAGTGGCGGAGAAACAGCACACACTTGCGCGATTGAAGGCCGTCATGCACGACGAACGTAGGACATTCGACACGGATATTCACGTTCCGAAAGCCTTGGTGAGCACTATGCAAATGAGTCTGCGCTACAAGGACGAGCGTCAGAGTATCCTTGAACGTCGATGCGGAGTGCTGCGTGCTGCGCACAAGATCCGCTCTCGACAAGCGATGCTTGTCAAGCAGCTTGGTACGGTGTACCCTATCGAGTATGTGGGGGCTGGGGAGTACAGCATTCGTGGCATTCGTATCGCCAACTCGGACTTCACAGGTGGCGGTAGAAATGACGAGGATATGATCTCCACCGCTCTGGGATACATCGCTCATCTGGTGTTTATGCTCAGCAAGTATCTTCAAGTGAATCTTCGGTATCGCGTTGTGCCATACTCCTCTCGGTCGTTTTTGAAAGACGAAATTAATGATCCTCAGGGTGAATACCCATTGTACAGGAAAGGAGTGGAGAGGGAACGCCACGAGAAGGCCATTCGTTTTCTTCGCAAGGATGTGGAGCAGGTACGGTGGCAGTTATTTCGTCTCTCTACTTTTCTGCTAGATATCTGACGCTGTGTGTGATTCATAGCTTCTGTTTGCTCGAAGCTTGGATCCTACATTAGAAGCACCCATTCTGGCTCGACTGAAGGAACTTACAGACGCTGAAAGCGCATGGCTTGCAATTGATCGGAACCTAAGCAACAATGCGAGTAGTAGCAATGGCACCGCCGATACGGGCGCCATCGTGACCAGGTAGACTTACAGATTTTAAATACTACTACATGTACAGTAGTAGTACTTTGTACTACTCCTTCGTAGTACTGTACTGCAAAGTGAAAGCAAAGTGGAAAAGAGACTGGACTCAAATTGATAGTGTCGCCGTACTACAGTACAGTTGACATGCACTTGCTTCTTTTTTTTCATTATGCCGTGGGTCCTCAAAGTAGACCTGTATGCTGCATCTTACAGCTTGGCTGGAGAAGCCTCGCCCGGGTAAAAGTTGTCGTACCAGTGACGCGCGATTTCCTCGCGCTGACAGATCCAAACGTCGTCGAAGCTCCGGACGTAGTCCAGGAAGCGCAGCAGAGCGGCGATGCGTCCCGGGTGACCCACCACACGACAGTGCAGCCCAACCGACATCATCTTCGGCTGTCCTGCACGTCCTTCGGCCAGGAGCACATCAAAAGAATCCTTGAGGTAGGTGAAGAACTGGTCGCCAGAATTGAAACCTTGAGGGGACACGAACTTCATGTCGTTGTTGTTTAGCGTGTAAGGGATCACCAGATGCGGACGTCCGAACTGGGTGTTCCAGTAGGGTAGGTCGTCATTGTACGCGTCAGCATCATACAGGAATCCACCTTCTTCAACCACCAGGCGACGAGGGTAAAGTTGGGCTTGCCCTGGTAGATGCCCACTGGACGCTTTCCCAGCATCTTCTC